GGCAAGAGAATTGCTTAAGCCATGCCACAGCACTCTACCAAGGGCCACATAGTGAGACTCTGTCTCAAAAAAACAAAGAAAGAAAGAAAAAAAAATCAATATGCTAAGAAAGAATTAAAAGATGGAATAAAATCAAAGAATCTCCTTATTCTCTCCTCTCTTTTCTCACTCTGTTTAAGTAAATGGCTCAATTCCATGGTTCAACTCCTGCCTCAATCCTTTAAAACATATTCATAGCATTTAAAAGTCTTTCTCAGCCCATCTTCCCTGTTTGGTCCTCTTAATCTCACTCCTGGCAGCAGCTCTAAATGATCCTATTGAGATACTGTCACCTGTTAAGCTCCCGTGGGTGTTTATGCCAGGGAAAGAGAGGGTAATTGGCAGATGGCCAGATGGAAGGTCTTCGATTATTTTTGTTCTGGCAAAGATGCCCTTTCTTCTGAATTTTATTTGTAAGAATTGAGGGTTCTTTCCCACTTAAATGTCAGTTTCTTATACAGGATGTGGATGAAGATTAAAGTGAACTCAGAACAGTGAAACCTTTACCATCAGAGAAATATCTTAAACTGCTCCAATCCCAAATGGCTTCAGTTGCATTTTAAATAGAGGCAGCATCACATGGAAATGACACTAATGTCATTACTGCCTAGGGCAACTCTTCAGTCACTGGTTATTGATGTTCATTCCCAATGGGTTAACAACACCAGAAGCTAAACATACAGATCTCTCCCTAGGCCTAAAACCGTGCAAAAGGACCTAATTAAAAATCAAACCAAAAACACCAATACATATGTTTAAAAGCTTGAGTTTTTTTTCTTTCTATAGCCTAAAAATGAATTTATTAAAATAAAAGCCAAAAAAGATAACATTTACTGCAGACTTTGTGCCAGGCATTGTCTTAAGCGCTTAAGAGCTTAAGACCTCACAGCAGTCTTTTGAGTACTTTTACAACATCTCTTTTAAAGATGAGTAAACTGACTTTTAGTGAGGTTCCATAAGTAGATCAAAGTGACAGGGTTGGTAAGCCAGAAATTTAAATCCAACCAGTAGGACTCTAGGTCTAAGAACTTAACCATTAGTCTATAAATCTCCCAAGATGTCCAGATGTTGTTTGTATATTAAAATGTAAATCTACTACCTCATTGCCTCATTTAATTTGCAGATGAGAGAGAGAGAGAGAAACTCCCATTTAAAGCAGCTTAACTGAAAGGAAGCTGCTATTCCCAGGCCTTTAGCATGGACAGGCATGTTGCTGGCCTCAGGGAAGGCTCGATCCAGGGACTTGAACACTGACAGGACTCTCTGTGCTCCTTCCTATCTGGTAGACTCATTCTGACAGCTTGTAGGGGACCGCATGGTGGAAAACTTCCCTTGGAAAGCTCCTGGTTCACATCCTAACATAAGCCCAGGGAGAAAAATACTCACTTGTGCTGGCTCCAGTAAGAAAAATTCCTACAAAAGACTGTCTGATCCAATTTAGGACATGTACTCATCCTTAGTCAGTCAAAATGGCAAAAGAGATAAAGAACTGTGATTTGTCCAGTCTGGGTCCCATGCCTACCCCTGTGGCTTGGACACTGCATTTGTACCAGAGGAAAAGAGAAATATGTAGCCAGAAACAAGTAGAATAGCTGCTAAACTACCTCACATGTGTACACTCTTTTGAGTGTACAAAGTGCTCTCTCATGACTTATGCATCTTGGGTCTCACAACCACCCTGTGAAGAGAGAAGGTCAAGTATTACTAAGTGGTAGATTAAGAGGGCCACAAATTCTTTGTTACTGTCTCCATTGAGAGCCGGAATTCATTTTTCCTTTATTTGAATCCAAGTGGTCCTATGTTAACAAACCAAAAAAACATGGCAGACCTATTACATCTCTTTCTTGGCCACATATTTAAGTGGATTTGAGGGTTCCATTTTCTCTCTTTGGGAGTGCTCACTTCACTCCTTAAGAGCTCCCTCTTGAAACCCAGCCACCATGCAGTGAGATGTCCAATTCATGTAGAGAGGCCACATGGAGGTGCTCCAGTCAACAGCTCTGGCGGAGCTCTCAGCTGATAGCCAACATCAACTGCCATGCACAGTGAGTGAGCCATTTTGGACATTCCAGAGTGGTTGGTTGGCAGAAGCCAAGACTCACTGGTCGAGGGTCCATAGCTAGGAAATCTCTGAGTTGTGATACTAAGCTAGGCACTTTAACACTATGCCCACTGGTTTCTTTGATTCCTTACTGCCTCCCCTTAAAAACACAACAAATAGGGGGCAGGGGGGGCACACTGGCTCATGCCTGCAATCTTAGCACTCTGGGAGGCCGAGGTGGGTAGATTGCTCAAGCTCACAAGTTCCAGACCAGCCTGAGCAAGAGTGAGACCCATTTCATTCTACTAAAAATGAAAAACTGAGGCAAGAGGATCACTTGAGCCCAAGAGTATGAGGTTGCTGGGAACTATGATGCCACAGTACTCTCCCAAGGGTGACAAAGTTTGTCTCAAAGACAAAACAAAACAAACAACAACAACAAAAAAAAAACACAACAAGCCTCATTTCAAAATTTTCAACTGTAGAATTTCGGCCCAGGATGCAGATTGGGGAAGTAGGGGATATAATTTGTTTATTTGTTCAGCTGGTCAGCAAACACTTAAGAAACTCAAGATTTTCCATTGCCAAGCAATGGATGAAAGTACACTTCTGGTTCTAGAGAAACTTAGAGTCTAATCAGGAGAGAATCCCATAAACAGTTCAATTTAATAACAACTCTTAAACGCCATGATGGGTAATGTGCAGGGTTATTCTGGAACCCATGAATGGGCACTAAACCTAATCCAAGGCATGAAATAATAGGCACATCTTTTGTTGGGTATAAGGGTATCTCTGAGTCTGTATTGAGGCTCCTGAAGAATATGTTTAAAATGAATACAAGTGTGACAAGAAAAAGGGGATGAAGCCAGGGAAGAACCCTAGTGTTTGGGATGGGGACATAAATTCTAATCCTCCTTCCATCCTTCACTTACATAAGCTCTTGGCCAAGTTGCTCAACCTCTATGTAATTCAACTTCCTACTCTGTAAATGTGAGGTGTAATCATGTGCTTTGGAGCTTCTTCAGTTTTGGATGTTTCTCAGACATCCAAAACTGAAGATGTCAGTTTGGTCCTTGGCTTGTTGTTCTTCTAGTTGCAAATTATCCCTGAGTGAGTTCATCCACTCCTCCAGCTTTTGTTATTATTCATACAACAATGATATCCCTTTATGCTTCACCCAGTTCCTTCTGTGGGCTCCCTACCAACATATTATTCTGTTTGTAGCAGGTTGCTGGATGTTCCACAGGTAGGTAAAGTTCCTCATATGCAGAGCTGAGCTCATACTTTGTCCACTTAATTCCCATTTCTGATTTCTCCCTTGTGAATGAAGAATCAACTTGCTACCTAGTTGCTGGACTGTGAGATTAAGTTCACTCTCCTACTTCCTCAACCTCACATGCAACTGTTTGTCAAATACTGCTAATTTTGTGTCCTAATTATTTCCAGAATCCATCCCTTTGACTAGATATCTCATAAACAGCTCAAATTCAAAATATTAAATCTTAACTCATTATTTCCCCTTCCAAAACTTGAAGCTCTTCTCTATGTTCTATGAGGATATTATCGCTGTTGAGTTGCCAAATCTGTAACTTGGGCATTATCTTTGATTTCTCCCTCTTTTGCCACCCATAACCAGGTAACTTCCATTTCCCGGTGTTTGGTTTCCTATTCCATCTACCCACTTCTCTCCGTTTTCAATGTCATTGTTTTTCGTTTGTTTGTTTTCAGTAGTATCGTAATCAGTTTCCCTGTCTCTGTCTTCAGTCTCACTCCCTCTGACTTCTTCCACAGTGTAGCCAGATCTGATCAAGTCAGCAACTTCCCATCTCCACCCAACATTTTCTAATCCTTTCATTCTTACTTTTTAAAACCCCCCTAGACGGCAAAATCTACTAAATAAATCATAATCCAGTTACCCTCGTCGCCCTGCACCTAGCACAATGTACTTGGCACATACCAGATACTCAATCAGTATGCCCAACTTATGCTCACCCCCTCTATTCACAGGTCATTTGCAGCAGATAAACCCCAACCTGTTCTAAGTGCGGCGGACCTCTGGAGGCACAGGGTAACCTGATAAGGCTCACGGATGTATGAGCCAGAGTCCTTGAATGAAAGCTATTAGGACCTGCGCAGTGGCTCATGCCTGTAATCCTAGCACTCTGGGAGGCCTAGTTGGACAGATAGCTCAGAACTCAGGAGTTCGAGACCAGCCTGAGCTAGAGCGAGACTCCCATCTCTACTGAAATAGAAGAAAATAGCCGGGCGTTGTGGCGGGCGCCTGTAGTCCCAGCTACTCGGGAAGCTGAGGCAAGAGGATTGCTTGAGCCCAAGAGTTTGAGATTGACTTGAGCTCTGATGATGCCACGGCACTCTACCCAGGACGACAGCGTGAGACTCTATCTCAAAACAACAACAAAAACTACAAAAAGTTTCAGACACTAACTACATATAATAGTATCAATGAATTGTGTAGTCAGTACATAAAAGGATGCATATCCCAAGACATCTTCATGATGGGGCCTTAAAACTAAAGTCATCCTTATGGCTGTGGGCAAATATTGTCTCCTTTCTGGATCTATGCTCCTGATCTGTAAAAGCGGCAGTTGAGAGAGAAAGTAAAACTTCCAAGCCTGGGTAAGTTGAGAAATAATGGGGTCCTACGTAGCGCCAGCGCGTCCTTGTGCGCGTGCGCAGGGAGCCGGAGGCCGGAGTTGGGGTAGGGAAGGGCGGGAGTGGGGCTTTAACCCGGAGCTGCCTTCCCGGCATGCCCCCGGGGGAGGCGGGACCAAGCCGACTCCCGCGGTTTGGCCACCCCATTGGCGGGCGGTTTGAATGACGGAAGTGACGGTAGCTAGCAAATGGCCGAGCCGCAGGCGCACAAACGGCTTTTGGCTAGCTGATCAGCTGGTACCTTGGAGGCCGGATTTCTCCGAGCTGCGACTTTTGACTCCGGGTTCGGGGTCCTCAGGTGAGTGACGAAGCGCACAATTCCCTGAGGCTCCGGAGCTGGGAGTGTGCTCCGAAGAAAGGGATCCCAGGAAGGCGCCGCGTCGCGAAGGCAGCACCGTCCGCGGTGTCCGGCTTCCGCGGGCCTTACCTGCGGTCAGGCTGCGGCTGGAAGGGTCCCCCCGGCATGAGGGGCATCCGCCCCGGACCGCCAGCTCCGCGCGAAGGGCTGCTCCGGGCCTTCTGCGCCAGGGCTTTGCGCGCCTTGCGTGGGGTTAGGTCGCGCGGGCTTCCCCTGCAGCCTCTCTGGTCCTTGAGCTTTTAAGCCGGCGGGCGGCCGCAAGGGCCGCTACTGCTGCTGCAAACACTTCCCCCGGGTCACCGGTGGACATGGCCTAACACCTGGTAGCTGTTGAAGAGTATTGCTTAGGATTGTCTGCCTCCCTTAATTTCACAGGTATTAAACGCTGTCAAAAGCTAAGTTTTTAAAACAATAGCAGACCTTTGAGTCTTTAATATTTAGGATGCATTTGGCAATTTCTCACTGACTGAGGCGCATAATCAAAGCAAGACTGTAGGGGGAGATACTACTCCCTTTATACAGTTTAAGAAAACGAGACTAAACTGATTTGACCAGTGTCTTCCTGCTAGCAAGCGACAGTGTTGTCTTGAGCCCAAATCTTGTAAATTTAGTATTTTGTGATTATCATATACCAATTGCCGTGATGTAATCTTCAAGACAAAAATCTTGCAAGATAAATAGTCATCCCCATTATCGGATAATAATAAAACAGAATTTTAAAATCCGTATTTGTAGGACTGAAATAAGTGGAGCAGCAGGGGAAACTTCCTTAGAGTAGGGCTCCAGTTGATAAAGTATAGAAGGAATAACGGAAATAGGAAATGCTATTCGATGACCCCAGGGACGTTTTTCAAACAACAGTTGTTATTGGGTACTAAATGTAGTGGGCAAAAGTATTATGAAAAACATTTATGTAGCCTCTTCATCAGATAGATGTAAGAGAAAAACAGCAACTACACTGGAGAAACCTAGGTAGACATCACCTTAATCAAGTGATTAAAATTCATGTCACTAGTTGTAAGACATATTGTCATTGTTTACCTCTTGATATTATGCACCAAGAGGGATATATCATGGGGTTCTTGACCAAAGTGCATAAATAGACAAATTTAAATTGATGGGCATTCGACAAAATAACTACCTAGTATTTAAAAAAAATAACAGGATCTTGAAAAGAAAGATAGAGTGAGGAAGTGTCCGGGATTAGAGGAAACATGCCAACCTTGGCAGTCATGAGAAAGTGACTCATATACCCTCTTCTCCGGCATTTTGAAATCCCCGTTTCCATGGTGGCCGTGCTTCTCCTGGGCTGCTTGGTAGCCAATGACTGAGTGGTAAGGATGCTATGATAGGCCTACTGCTGAGAAACTCCCCACAGGTCTTTCTCAGCCCTTTAGACTACATGCTTCTCTAAGAGGTATCTACTCATTCTCTTCTATCTCCTCCTTTCAGTGTCAGACTCACTTTGAAGTCTGAGGTACTCCTAGTTTTCACCAGCTCCCTCCTCCTATTCCTTTACATAGGCATTTCTCCTGATAAAAATCCTTGCCAATTTAATCCCGGTTAGCTTCGGCTTATTGGAGGCCCCAGAGTTACACAAAAGCAAATGCAATATGTTGTCCATGGATCAAGTCTTCGTCCAGAAAGTAGACATTAGTGGTATAATTGACAAAATCTGAATCAGGTCTAAAAAGTATTAGGGCGAGATGTGGTGGCTGGTACCTGTAATCCTAGCACTTAAGGAGGCCAGAGTGGGAGGATTGCTTGAGACAGGGAATTCAAGACTGTCATAAGAAAAAAGGAGACCCCATCTTTATAAAAAAAATTAGCCAGGTGTGGTGGCATGCGCCTATAGTCCCTACTACTCAGGATGCTGAGGCAGGAAGATCACTTGAGCCCAGAGTTTTGGGTTGCAGTGAACTGATGGCGCCACTGGATTTTAGCCCAGGTGACAGAGACTCTGTCTACAAAAGTAAAAATAAAAAGTATTGTGCTAAGGTTAATTTTTTTGTTTTAATCGCTGTATTATGGTTATCTAAGATGTTAACTTTGGAGAAGTTGGGGAAAGGGTATATGAGAATTTGAAGTCTGAAATTGTTTACAAGTAAGTTTAAAATTCTTTTAAATTATACACAAAATAGTTATTCTGTTATATCTTAGGAGTTGAAAGTAATAAATGTATATGTTTTTCTATAGTCCTCTGGCATGAGATGATAGATATCCAGAAGAATCTGAAAAAAAAATTGTAGATTTTCCTGTTATATGAAATACAGAAATCTAAGTGTATCATTTGAGGCATTCTTATGTATACACCTGTGTAACCATCATGCAGATCAAAATATAGACTATCCCCAGCATTCCAGTGGTCTCCTTGGGCCCTCTCCTAGTTAATAACCTTTAGAAAGGTAACTCCTATTTTCACCTCTCTCATCATGGATTAGTCTTGCTTTTTAATGAACTGCGTGTAAATGGAATAGTCTTTTGTGTCTGGCTTTTTTTTTTTCAGTCAGTGATAATTATGTTTATGACATTCATCAGGAATTAGTTGTTTTGTTTTTTTTTTGAGACAGTTTCACTTTTGTCACCTTGGATAGAGTGCTATGTTGTCATAGCTCACAGCAACCTCAAACTCCTGGGCTCAAACAATTCATTTGCCTCAGACTCCTGCCACAACACCTAGATATATTTTAGAGATGGGAGCTTGCTTTTGGCCAGGCTGGTCTTGAACTCATGAGCTTAAGCAATCCACCTGCCTCAGCCTCTCAGAGTGCTAGGATTAAGGCATGAACCACCACGCCGGCCCCAAGGAATTAGTTTTAATAGTTTGAATATGAGTGAATTTTTAGACCTTCAGGCACATTAATAAAGGTACATTGTGAAGACTATAATCTTGCTTATTTTTCTACTTTATTTGGTTCTTCCCTGATTTTCGGTCCTCACTTGCAAAAAACAACAGCTTAAATAAATGTTTCTTACTCCACATGTGTTAGTACGTCAGCAAGTTAGGAGCCATTTGGAATAAGGAAACCACATTCTTCCCTTGGCTCTGCCTCTAGATATTGTCACCGAGGGCAGGTACTTCATGTGTTACCAAGAGGCCTTTGTATCTAAATATATATAATAGAATAATCAGCACTTTCCCTGCCCTTGCTAGAGTCTTGTATCAAATGAGTAGGATGAGTAGGTTTTTAAAAGCAAGCAATTCCTTTTTGATGCTAGAGTCCTATAGGAGATAATAGTAATGACTGTATAGCACTGTACTGTATTCTGTGTAGCACTGTACAGGAATTAACTTGCTGATTGACTCATTCGTGCAACACACTAAAGTACCTACTTATGTGCAAGACACTATTTTTATGCTATGGACATGAAACAGTGAGACTGTATCTGGTCTCTCTGAGCTTATGTAGTCCCTATTAGGTAGTCCCTCAGTCTCTCAGATCCTATTCTTTTTACACTTGATTGGAAACAGTATTCATCCATAGTAGGTGAGATACTACCTGGAAGTAATTTGTTACATTTATTTGAATATTAAAGTTTTTAAAAAACTGTAGCCATCATTTTTCAATTGTTAGGAATCTAGCTGGAAGAGACAAACTGTAATTGAAAAACTAGAAGTAATACCAGGACAATGTAAAATTAGTCCCCATAAAAACATGTAGGTAATATGCCTTATAGGTGGCCAGGTCAGGAGTGAATGAGTGAGTAGAACAAGAATTACTGTGCCCGGCATGGTGGCTCAAGCCTATAATCCCAGTTCTTGGGAAGTTTAGGCAGGCGGATTACCTGAGCTCACAAGTTCAAGACCAGCCTGAGCAAGAGTGAGACCCCCATCTCTTAAAAAAAAAATTAGCCAGGCATTGTGGCACCTGTAGTCCCAGCTACTTGGGAAGGTGGAGCAAGAAAATCACTTAAGCCCAAGAGTTTGAGGTTGCTGTGAGATGTGGTATATAGAGAGAGATGGCACCTACTAAGGGTGACAGAGTGAGACTCCATCTCAAAAAAAAAAAAAAAAGAATTACTAGAGGACAGCTTCCTAATGGACATGGGGCTTAAGCTAGTTCCAGAAAGATAACCCATTTTGCATGCCTGGTCATTGAGGAGTTCTGAGACACGGTGACATGTCTTAGGTAAAATGGTTATATAACCATGGAATCAAAGCAGTCCCATTAGTACCTTGGATGTTAAATGTCGTAATTTTTAGAAATGATGACAATGGAAACAAGTTAATATCAGAATTACTTGAGGAAAGTTTTAAAATGAAACTATATATTTGTATATTTTTTCTATTTCTTCTTACCACATTCCGCCAAATAGGACCTGTTAAAATCTAGAAAGCAGAGTGAGAACACTCACGCATAAACAGTAGCAATAGACTAGATCTGAGAATCAAAACCCGTGACACATCCAAACAATTATTCTTCTACAAGGGATTTTTTTTTTTTTTTTTTTTTTTGGTTTAGCAGGCCCTGGCTGGGTTCCAACCTGCCTCCTCTGGTATACAAGGCTGGCACACTAACCATTGAGGTACAGGCGCTCAGCCTTCTACAAGGGATTTTTAATGGTCATTCATTTAAAAATTGCATCATTGTAATTATTGAAGAAATGTTTACTGCAGAATATAGAACATGAGGTTGATGTGATTTCATGAGATACAGGTGATCAAGTTCAGTCTAGGGACCAGGGGACCTTGAAATTAGAGGAGCCTTGCTGGTTATGAACAAGTTATTGAAATTTTAAAGTGTTAAATTGTAGTTGTGAAAATACTTATCCTGTGGTATCACATCTTTTTAAGTCTTTGTGCTATTTTACATTTAAGCCAAGTAAATTCTGGAAATGCCAGGCAGGAATAAGTCAGATTATTGTTTACCTAGATGTTCTTGGTAAAAGATCTGCTGTAGACGGGGAAAATCTTTTCGGAGTAATTCGAGAATGCCTCCTTCCCATCAAAGTACCACTGATATTAGTGCTAAATTTGAGTTGGAGACCAGCTTGGGCAACATAGTGAGACCCTCGTCTGTACAATAAATAAATAAAGATTTAAAGTAGTGCTAAATTCACAATTGCTAATTGTACATTATTTACCCAAATGATTTCCTTGCGTATATAGCCCTTTAAATGTCAAAGAGTATATGAATCTTAAAAACTAATCTTTGCTGCCCTGTTTTCATGGTATATAACCTTATAAGCACTTCTCTTTTTTAAAAATTCAGAATCTTCATATATAAAGTATACAGAAATGAAAAGAAAAGTAGTGAATGCTGGCAAGCTAAGGTTGAGTCCTAACGAGGAAGCCTTCATTTTGAAGGAAGATTATGATAGAAGACGAAAACTAAGATTGCTACAGGTAAGATTTATTGAAAATAAAGTTTTGAATTCTTTGCCTTCCCCAAATTTGTATTTTTTTACACTAGGATTTTCTAAATGTTGTATTTTAAAACTTTTTCTGGCTGGACAAGAGCTCTGGTTCTTGTGTTTTAACAAGTTTTGGAACATTTGAAAAATGGGCTGAGGAGGTGCCTGTAGCTCAGTGAGTAGGGTGCCAGCCACATACAGCGAGGTTGGCAGGTTCAAACCCGGCCCGGGACAGCTAAACAACTGAAACAAAAAATAGCCGGGCATTGTGGCAGGTGCCTGTAGTCCCAGCTACTTAGGAAGCTGAGGCGAGAGAATCTCTTAAGCCCAAGTTTGAGGTTGCTGTGAGCTTTGATATCATGGCACTCTACCAAGGGTGACATAATGAGACTCTGTCTCTTTTTAAAAAAAGAGTATTACCTGCTGAAACAAATTTATTAGGAAGTTGTAAATTATTCTTTTCTACAAGCAAGAAGTTAAGTCTTTGTGAAGCATGTTTTAGTACTGTTCTGTCTAGAATCAGTGGTGATATACCATAGAAGTGAGGTTCTGATCTGGTTCTATCTTTTTTTTTCTTTTGCAGTTTTTTTTGGCCAGGGCTGGGTTTGAATCCGGCATATGGGGCCGGCACCTCACTCCTTTGAGCCACAGACACCACCCTCTGGTTCTGTTTTTATTCCTCTACTCTATAGATTTTGTTGAATTTTGTTTTATCATTTTAGCTTATTCTAGGTTACTAGAATGATAATAACAGTCTCATTAATGCTTTGGATGTTAAAAAAAAAAAGGTCATCAGTTATTGGACTTTGGAAGTAGAGATTTTTACTTTTTCTACATTACATATCCCTTGTACTATAAGCTGAATATTCAGGAGAAGTGATAGACCTAAAGAGAAATTGGAGTTACTGTTTCCAAATAGGTTTTCTTTTCTTTTTTTTTTTTTTTTGAGACAGAGCCTCAAGCTGTCCCCCTGGGTAGAGTGCTGTAGCATCACAGCTCACAAGCAACCTCCAACTCCTGGGCTCAAGTGAATCTCCTGCCTCAGCTTCCCAAGTAGCTGGGACAACAGGCGCCCACCACAACGCCTGGCTATTTTTTGGTTGCAGCCATCATTGTTGTTTTGGCGGGCCCAGGCTGGATTCGAACCATCTTAGGTATATGTGGCTGGAGCCTTAGCCACTTGAGCCACAGGTGCCGAGCCATTCCAAATAGCTTTTCAAAAAAGTTTAAGCCATTCTTAACTTTTTGGGCTCTTTAAAAAAACAAAACGAAACAAAAAACCTCCTTTCATATGGTCAAATGTACATTCTTTAGGTTAGAGAACAAGAAAGAGATATCGCCTTACAGATAAGAGAAGATGTAAAACAGAGGCGGAATCAGCAATTCACTCGTTTGGCAGAGGAGCTAAGAGCAGAATGGGAAGAATCACAAACTCAGAAAATACAGAACTTGGAAAAACTATATTTGGCAAGTTTAAGAAGTATGGGAGAAGGACATCAACAGGCCAAAGAAAATGTGAGTGAGAACTTATTTGACTGTCTGATTGTGGCAATGACATTAGTTAAAAAGTCAGTTGTAGAAGCAAGATAAAATGTTTTCATGTGTAGAATTTGTTTGGGGCAGTGTGAGGGGTGTATTTTTGTAATCAGTTTAATACAAGTTGAGAATAATAGTAAGTTCATTTCCTAGTAAGAGTCTTGTCAAGTAAAATCCATGTCAAAATCTATCTTCTATCATCCTATAATATTTAAATTAGCCTTATTCTCTCCTGGGACTTAACTGTGTAAATAAAATAGCCTTCTGAATCAGAAGCTGTTCATCTCAAGCATTTTAGACAGATCCAGTGGTATGAATTCAGATTTTCCATTGCAATATCATTATGGTTGAATGTATATATACTTAGATTTCATTGACAAGTAGCAAAAATTCTTTGATAACTTTTAGAAAGACAAAGTAGAACTTAATATTTAAGACTGCTCTCTGACTTTATTTTGTTAATTGTGATTTACTGAAGTATCTTTAAAGAATATGGCAATCTGGGTCTTGATCTCTGGTTTTAGTCTGTATTTTTAGTAATAGCCTTAAGTTCTGATCTCAGAATTTTATAGCTTTATGTGTGCCACCATTCACTTTGTGCTTTAGTGCAGTATCAGACTCTTGTCACAGTGGTGTCAAACCTCTGTCATTGAATACTACTTTCACAATTTTTGCCTTACCTGGGGACCTACCCTGTTACTATGTATTTGGCATTTCAACTTAAATGGACTCTTTGACAGTTTGACCCTGTCCTAAGTAGTTTGATATTATATTTATTATTATAATAATATGGTAAATGATTACATTGACTTTTTTTTTAAGGGTCAATATCTCATTGTGTCACCTAGGCTCCAGTGGACTGATGTAATGTTAGTATTCTATAACCTTGAATTTCTGAGCTCAAGTGATCCTCAGCCTCTCAAGCAGCTATGACTGTAGGTTTGTGCCACCCTGCATGGATGATTTTTACATTTTTTTGTAAAAGCAGGGTCTTGTTATTTGGCTTAAACTGGTCTCAAACTCCTGGCCTTAAGCGATCCTCCTGCTATAGGCATGAGCCACTGTGCTTGGCCTACTTTAAAATGTGTGTGTTTGTCCCCATCAATAGTATCATTACTGCTATAGTATGTAAGAAGAGGGAGACAAAATTGAAAGGTCATTTCTTTCTTTTCTTTTTTTTTTTTTGAGACAGTTTCACTATATCACACTCAGTAGAGTGCTATGGCATCACAGCTCATAGCAACCTCAAATTCTTGGGCTCCAAGGATTCTCTTGCCTTAGCCTCCCAAGTAGCTGGACTACAGGCACCTGCCACAATGCCCTGCTACTTTTTTGTTGTAGTTGTTGTTGTTTAGCAGGCCCTGGCCAGGTTCTAACCCACCAGCCTTGGTGTATGTGGCTGGCGCCCTAACCACTGAACTATAGGTGCCGAATCTGAAAGGTCATTTTTTATATCAAATAGATGCTTTTCTATTAACAGTTTAACATGACATTTTAAGTAATGTATGTTTTTAGGAACCTGATTTGGAGGCACTGGCGTGGAGGACAGCAGAAAGGAAAAGAAAAGCAGATCTGAGGCATAAAGAGGCACTGAAAGTACAGAAACATCAAAGAGAAGTATTAATGAACCAAAAATCCTGGTAAAGTAATAATAATTGTTATCATAGTCTCAGCTGAAACTGACATGGCTGGAAGTAGAGGCTACATAGGATAGTTTGTAAGCATATAATAAAGAAAAGTCATGTAGTACATCCATTCCATTTGTTAAACTTGGTTTAAAAATGCAGGGGGCAGAGCAAGCTGGCAGAGGGGATGCATCTCTGGATCAACTCTCCGCGCGGTTTCAGGTGAGAGTGAGGGGGCTGGATCTTTCCCTGCGTGGACTGTTGGCAGAGATAGGCAACACAGGGTGTGCAGCAAAGAGGTGGATTGCTGGACTGGAATTGTAACCCAGCACCGCAGCATCTGCCAGAGAAAACTTGGCGCCACAGCTAAAGCAGTGCCAGCCGCTTTGGCCCGTGACCTGAGGCGGCAGCAATCACCCCTCCCTCACGGAGGACTACTATTCCCAATTTGTGGGGAGTTTGGGTGTTTTGTAGAAAGTGTGAAGTCTTTGTGGTGCTGAGAGCGACAGCAGCAACCAGTCCCTCCCTCACGGAGACTGATGGAAAAGTCTGTGCTGAGGCGCTAAAGTGGCCAGCGCCAGTGGCAACCAGTCCCTTCCCCGTGAAATATTACAATTTTCAGTTCAAGGGGAAACTAGGAGTTGAGTGGAAAATCTGGTGACCCGTGGACTCCTGTGCCAAATTTGGAGGGCAGAGAGAGGTGCCATCTAGAACAGGACAGCTGAGGCTGGGCAGCCAGTCAGGAAGCAGATATATTGTGAAACTTCAAAAATGGCATCTCCATAGCACCTTTTCCTACTGGCCAAGTGTGGTGAGCTGAATCTCACCTGACATGAAGGCTGTTAACCAGTTTGATGAAGATATTTCAAATTCTATATAAAAACAGCCCACTGTATCCCATGACAGTATTAATGTACACAGCTATGATTTAATAAAAAAAATAATGTGATGGGGAAAGTGATTTTGCTTAGGTGAACATAGTAATTAAGGAGCTTTCTCTCTAGTTATGGTTTCAACATAGCTAGTTTAGCAGCAATTACTAAGTTTCTGGAGAAATGTATGGCTAGTTTATAGTGCACTTCAACCATAATCCATCTCTGACATAGAAAAGAAATGAAGGAGTAATTAAGAACATCAAAAGGGGTTATGTAGGGTGGGGGGTGGTGGCTCATGACTGTAATCCTAGCACTCTGGGAAGCCAACCTCTGCCTGAGCTCAGGAGTTTGAGACCAGCCTGAGCAAGAGTGAGACCCCCATCTCTAAAACTGGCCAGGCATTGTGGTGGGCACCAGTAGTCCAGCTACTTGGGAGGCTAAGGTAAGAATTGCTTCAGCCCAAGAGTTTGAGGTTGCTGTGAGCTGTGATGCCACGACACTCTACCTGGGGTGACAAAGTGAGACTCTGTCTCAAAAAAAAAAAAAAAAAAGTTGTGTAGACTGTGGAAGTCATTAGTATTTTTTGCATGTTGTAAAAATTAAGGGCCCTGTTACTAGTGGTGATTTTATACAATGGCCCATTTTTATCAACATTTCTAGTAGGTTGCTCTTAACTCTTCTATACTAAAGAATATTGTATGTTTGTTGGCTTGGCACCCACTGTAGAGCTTTGTGCCTTTGGATATGCCTCTTTCAGCTGGTAAACATCCTCTGACATGCCCACTGTGTATAGACGCTTGCCCTTTATTAAACAGCATACCAAGCCTGTGGGATCAAACTGGAAGATTTCTTGAGATTCCATGACTTTTATTTTTTAACCATGAGAGTTGTACTGTGTGATATGACTACAGAGTGATTAATTGCTGCCATCTCTTGTTTTTAAGGCGTATAAAAGCTCGAAAGGAAGCACTGATGGTGGAAAAAGAGAGGTCTGCCAAAATTACAAGTCTGCCCCCTCCTCCTCCACCTCTGTTTGAGGTAAATTTCTCTGAGTGTTAAGAGGTACTAGGTTATGGTAATTCTTCTTTACTGTTAGAATTCGTTGGAGGTAAAAATAACTGTCATTTGTTTAAACTTAATTTTTAATTGTACAGAACCACTAGAGTATTTTAAAATAATCCTTATTTACCTGTAAATTCTTTAGTATGTATTTCTCTGATGGATAAGGACTTTTTTTTAGCCTAAAACTAATATTGTTACCAATATCATCTAACACCAAGTATGTGTTCAGCCTTCTCCAGTTGTGTTAAAAAAATTGTGTTGTTTGAAAAACTATAATAGTTTTGGTTTCTTATGAAACTATTTATAGTTCTGCCTTTTTTTTTTTTTTTTTAAATTTTGAGACAGAGCCTCAAGCTATCCCCCTGGGCAGAGTGCTGTGAGCACCACAGCTCACAGCAACCTCCAGCTCCTGGGCTCAAGCGAGTCTCCTGCCTCAGCCTCCCAAGTAGCTGGGACCACAGGTGCCTGCCACAACGCCTGGCTATTTTTTTGGTTGCAGCTGTCATTGTTGTTTGGTGGCCTGGGCTGGATTCGAACTTGCCACCTTAGGTGTATGTGGCTGGCGCCTTAGCCACTTGAGCCACAGGCGCCGAGCCTAGTTCTGCCTTTTTAAAAATGCCCTTTATTTATTGGGTAAAAAGAAATAAAAACTAGGTTATTTGTCCTATAGACTTTTCCACATGCTGGATGTGGCTCATTTTAAATAGTTACCTTTTCACAAATAAAGAAATTAAGGTTCGGATAAGTTAATACATTTGTATAAGTTATAAAGTAATGAGAGGAATCTATTTCTTTATGTGAGTAAAATGTATGCTTTTGTGATTTAGAGATCATCTAAAAAATTAAAGCAGAAATTAGTTTTTTAAAAGTGTTGGTTTTCAAAAAAAAGAATTATACATAAAACAAAAGTAGTAAATACCCTCAACTCACCGAAACAGCTGTAAAAAAACAGTTTTTTAGACTCTGTCTAAAAAAAAAAAAAAGAATAAGGATATTATCTTACACAACCCCAATACCATTATCTCGCTAAGGAAATTAACATTAATTCTTTACCACCACTACTATTCAGTTCATAATGAAAATTCTAGTTCTCTCTAAATTGTCTTATTTATTTTTTTTCTTTTTTAAAAACCAGGGTCTTGTCCAGATTCACAACATTGCTTCTGCTTGTTCTGTCTCTTTGGTCTCTTTAAATCTAAAACAGGGGTGTCCAACCTTTTTTTTTTCTCTGTTGCCCATTGAAAGAATAAGAGTTATTTTAGGCCACACATTAAATACATAAACTCTAATGAAAGCTGATTAGCAGAACAATCTGTGCATACTTTTTGCGATATCCAACACCACAGATAAGCAAAAAAGGTCCCCAGGGCCTGTGGGTTTGACACCCCTGAATTATTTCCTCCACCTCAAGCTTTTTTCAGACTTTCTGAAGAGACAGGTTAGTTTCTCGTGTTCTGCCTTTGTCTCACTGTTTGCACATGGTATCCTGCATTTTCATTAAACTAGAGGTTTAAAGGCTTGATTATGCTTGGGCAGGGATACTGCATAGACACTGCCATATAGTTTATTGCATCAATTAGGAGGCATAAAATGGAAGATTGCTCCCCTATTAATAATGCTAAGTTTGATCATCTGGTTATGGTGGTGACTACAAGAGATCACCATCAAATAGTTCCCTTTTTAATTCCCAAGTAATCTTAAGACAGACATAATTCTTCATTTCCCCCTACAATGTTCAGAGTACAGGGGTGGTATAGTAATCAATACCATTGGTGGTAAATGTGTTATTCTCTGCTTTTCTGTGAATATCACTGTGGATTTGTGGATTTTTATTTATTCAGTGTTACATAGTCATAGTCATTCTTTTTATTCTGGCTGACGTTTATAATGTCTGAAATCAGGTCAGTAGGAGAGTTTGCTCTGTATCCTCATTACTACATGAGTATGTCCTTGCTCTCTGGCCCAGCAGATGACCTAGGCACACTATGTACTTACCCTGTCCCACTTCTGGAATCTCCAGAGTCCTGGTTCTTTTTTTGTTAACTAAATTTTCTTCTGAGAGAACTATTTACCTGGTAAAGAGGGTAGTTATTGTGTACTCCCTCCTGTAATCTCTGGGAGACTGAGGCAGGAGAATCACTTGAGGTCAAGAGTTTGAGACCAGCCTGAGCAAAGTGAGACCCATCTCTACTAAAAATAGAAAAATTAGCTGGACATGGTGGTACACACCTATAGTTCCACTTACATTGAAGGTTGAGGCGGGAGAATCACTTGAGCCTAAGAGTTTGAGGTTGCTGTTAATGAGGCTGATCCTATGGCATTCTAGCCCAGGTGACAAAGTAAAACTCTGCCTTAAAAAGAAGATTGTAATGGTACTGGCTTTTTAAATTCATATCTCATTTAATCACCAATTATTACTGCATGGTGATATAATTCCTGTTTCACAAATGAGGAAAATTGAAAGTCAGGGGCTAATTAACTGACCAAAGTCATCGAATAGATAACTAAGTTTATGTCAAGGTCAGACTAATTCTGTAAAACTCAAAATGATCTTTTTACTGTGACACATAGCTTCCCATGAATATACCTTTCAGAGCTCACTCTGTTTAAGTGAACTATTTAGACACTAAAGTCTACAAATGTAAACAACCATAATTTTTTCGTAAGACTTTTAAAGAACAGTTTGCGTTGAAACCCCCAGGATACTATAAAGACTTAATCATATAGTAGGCATCTTCTGTATTATATTGTACATATTAAAGACATACTACTTCATCTTTTCTGCACTGCCTTCAGAGATAGTTCGCCAGATGTAGGAGAAAATTAACTTTGTTTTATTTGTAGTCATAGAACTTCTTCTCTTGAGGATGCTCTTTGTTGTTGTTGTTTAAGAAGAGATTTGGCCTTGCTGTGTTGCCCAGGTTGGAATGCAGTGGTTGTTGACCATTGTGGTTATAGTGCAGTGCTGCCTTGAACTCATGGGCTCAAGCATCCTCCCACCTCAGCTTCTTGGGTGGGAGCTAGACCTATCAGGCATGTGCCACTAGCCCTGGCCTTTTTTTTCTTCTTTTCCTTTGCTATGTGAGCCAATCGCAGGTACCTCAGAGGGCTGGTTTTGCCCTGTACCTGCATAGATAAGACTAGAAATAGTTACCATGCAGCAAAATTAACACTGGAAGATAAAACACAGGAAGGGCTCGGTGCCTGTGGCTCAGGTGGCTAAGGCACCAACCACATACACCTGAGCTGATGGGTTCGAAGCCAGCTCAGGCCTCCAAACAACAATGATGGCTGCAACCAAAAATAGCTGGGCATTGTGGTGGGCACCTGTAAATCCCAGCTACTTGGGAGGTGGAGGCAGGAGACTCACTTGAGCCTAGGAGTTGGAGGTTGCTGTGAGCTGTGATGCACACCGCACTCTACCCAGGGTGACAGCTTGAGGCTCTGTCTCAAAAAAAAAAAAAACACACACACAGGAGGTAAACCAAGTGATTTTTAAATCATTAACAAACCATCCTAACTCTTCCAGCATGAGTATGTATTGGAGTAAGTACTTAAGTGAATTTCACTAGAGATAATGTTATAGTTGATAAGGATTGGTGGTAATTTAAATCTCAGACTGATCCCAATTTTGCATGGGTTCCAAATTCAATCTATGTAATTGCCTCTATTCTGGTATTTTAAAGTTGAATGTAAACTGAATTACATTTTAATGTTAAATTGCATAATTTTGCAGATTTGTTTTCTTCTGTACTTTGTCAAGAAGCCTATAGTTAATTTTTTAAAGGCATGATTTAAAAACTATTAAGATTCTTTTGGAGAGTGAAACATTCTTATCTAATGTGTATTACCATCTCTGATTTTGTTTTGTGACTTCATCCCATACTCATGTATGTTACAAGTAAATCTTTGATTAATTCTCAGCTTATTAAATTTTCTCCCTTTCAAGCTTGTGTTAAATTTATCATCTCAGAGCAGCGCCTATGGCTCAGTGGGTAGGGTGCCTGCCCCACGTACCAAGGGTGGTGAGTTCGAACCCAGTCCTGGCCAAATTACAACAAAAAAATAGCCAGGTGTTGTGATGGGCCCCTGGAGTCCCAGCTACTTGGGAGTCTGAGGCAAGAGACGCGCCTAAGCCTAGGAGTGGAGGTTGCTGTGAGTTGTGTGATGCCACGGTACTCTACCAAGGGCAATAAAGTGAGACTGTCTCTACAAAAAAAAAAGAGAAAAAAAAATCTCTAGGGCCTGGTGTGGTGGCTCACGCCTGTAATCCTAGCACTATGGGAGGCTGAAGCAGGTAGATTGCCTCAGCTCAGAGGTTTGAGACCAGCCTGAGCAAGAGCAAGACCCCATCTCTAAAAATAGCTGGGCGTTGTGATGGGAACCTGTAGTCCTAGCTACTTGGGAGGCTGACTCAAGAGAATCGCTTGAGTCCAAGAGTTTGAGGTTGCTGTGAGCTATGATGGTAGGCACTGTCCTGAGGGTGACCAAGTGAAATTCCGTTTCAAAAAAAAAAAAAGAATTTATCATGTCAGTATTGCCATTTTATAACATTGTAAATGTTTTCTCATATATCAATTAATTCCCACAATAATTGTCACAATGATATATGATATAGGGATAGCTATATACCTTCTTTTCTTGGGAAAGATGAGGGACAGAGAAGTTAAGGGACAGCTAGGATATAGTATAGAGGAGACTCAGTGGAAATGTTAGCATTTATTTGTGCATCATTTTGGTTTATTATTTTAATTTTTCCCTAATTGTTAGAACCTGTAGTTGTTAAAACTTATTCTGAGCTCCTTGAAGGCAGGAGCTTTTATTTTATTTTACTTTTCAGTAACATTCACAATGCCTAGAATGGTTTTTTTTTTTTTTTTTTTTTGAGACAGAGCCTCAAGCTATCCCCCTGGGTAGAGTACCGTGGCATCACAGCTCACAGCAGCCCCCAACTCCTGGGCTCAAGCGAGTCTCCTACCTCCGCCTCCCAAGTAGCTGGGACCACAGGTGCCCGCCACAACGCCCGGCCATTTTTTGGTTGCAGCCATCATTGTTGTTTGGCGGGCCCGGGCTGGGGATTCGAACCCACCACCTTAGGTGTATGTGGCTGGCGCCTTAGCCACTTGAGCCACAGGCGCCGAGTCCTTAGAATGTTTTAATACATAGTACACACTGAAGTTCTTTATTCAGTTGTTTTAATTAAACATCAGTGTGTAGCAGGTTATGGACTGTTTGCATTTTTGATGAAATATAGGAAAGGGATGGGGGGAAAGTAGTTTTTCTTTCATTTTTCTGAGACTTGTTTTATTCTGGAGTAAGTGTAATTTAAATATTGGCAAGTGTTTTAGGACTAGAACTCAAAAGACATCATTAAACATTGAGAAAAGAAGTAAGGGTAGTTTGAACTACAGGTAGAATTTTTGTGATTAGATATGAAATAGGGGGCGGCACCTGTGGCTCAAAGGAGTAGGGCGCCAGCCCCATATGCCGGAGATGGCGGGTTCAAACCCAGCCCCTGCCAAAAACTACAAAAAAAAGAGAAAAGAAATAGGACATAATAGTGAATGTAGCTTTCCTGTAAGTATAACAAAGTGCTTTTAATTTGATTTGACATGCCATATAAGCACTTTCATATTCAGATTTAAAAATGAAATGTCTCTTTAAATAACTTAGACATTAAGATGATTAAAAGACATGGATTATGTTAAAGCTACCTGGAAGATGTTTTGAAGTATTAGTGAATTTGGTACTTTTATTAAAATTTAAAATAATTTAACTCTGGGAAAAAGACATTTCATCGTGAGAAGATTTTAGCTTATCTCAGATGAGAAATATTGAAATACAAATTACTTCTTTGTATTGGATTTAACTTTAAATGAAAATTAATGCTTTTATCCTATTTTCTTGTATTTTTTTATGTTCCATTTTTCAGAACATCGAAGTAAAGAGAATTTCTGCAGTGAAAACCAATAGTTCTACCTATCATCACCTTTGCACTTTTGTGAATAGAGAGATGGACACAAAGCAGGTGATTGATTTGTTTGTTCATGTCCTTACTTTATTATTTCTGTGTTCACTGAATTGAATGATATCTTGGTTCTATGTATGATGTTCACCGATTTAAAAATCTGAATAATTCTAACCATCCTATGGTAGTAATAATGATTTAAAAATCTTTTAAATAGGCTTTGAATTCTCATGTCGGGTATATGAAATTTTAATATGAATAAAAGAAAATAGTTGGCTATTAAATGGTTATATTTTAATACATGAACTGCCATGTGAGTTGTATTTAAATTATGCTAGTTGTGAGCACAGGGTCTTATGAAGCCTATACATGGTGGACATAAAGTTCTTGTGTAATTTAAAATAGTTTAACATAGCAAATTGCACAAACTTTATTTCCACCTGGTATATCTCACATGTCTCTTATCCTATCCTAACCTAATAAAACACCATGGCCCCAAGGAAAAAGAAAAATTTTTCTACTTTGGCAGTTAATGTGTTAAAACAGCAGATTTTTAATCTTTTTTATCATAAAATAATGCATGTTATTTGGGAAAAATTTGCATATACACATATGTGCAAACTATAGGAAAAACGCCAATGATTGCATCACTGAATAGTTAATATTTTAATGAATATTATAGCTGTTATGTACAAACATATACACACATTTTTCAAAATATGATTTTTAATAGCCACTTCATATTTCATCATAGGATTTACGTACCCATTGGTTCACTTTGTGCTTCTGTAAATAATGCAGACGTAATGATCTTGTACATTTTGGCTTGGAGCCTGTAGCACAGAGGTTATGGCGCCGGCCATATACACCGAGGCTGGTCGGTTCATACTGGGCCCAGGCCAGCTAAACAACAATGACAACTGCAACAAAAAAATAGCTGGGCATTATGGTGGGCACCTGTCCTCCCAGCTACTTGGGAGGCTGAGGCAAGAGAATTGCTTAAGGCCAAGAGTTTGAGGTTGCTGTGAGCTGCGACGCCACAGCATTTTACCCAGGGTGACAGACGTAGTGACACTCTCAAAAAAATAAAACAAAATAAATAAAAATAATCTTCTACCTTTTCATCGACAATAGAAATGACTGGTTCCAAATTTTATAACATTTGATACAGACCATTAAATTGCCTTTTAAAAAGAAAGCATCAGCAACATAGGACCATGGCCATTTTACCATACCCTTGTTTGCATAGAATATTATGATTTAAAAATTATTGCTAGTCTTAAGAGTAACAAATAATACACCCTTATTATAATTGCTATTTCTGCCAGGTGGGGTAGCTCATGCCTGTAAGTCCTCATACTCTTGGAGGCTGAAGTGGGTGGATTGCTTGAGTTTGAAGTTTAAGACCAGCCTGAGCAAGGGTGAGACCCTATCTCTACTAAAAACAGAAAAATAAGCAGGGCGTTGTGGGTGGCACCTGTAGTCCGAGCTACAAAGGAGGCTGAGACAAGAGGATTGGTTGTTTGAGGTTGCTGTGAGCTATGGATGCCATAGCATTCTACCCTGGCAACAGAGTGAGATTCAGACTAAAAAAAAAAAAAAAAAAGAAAGTGTGTATGATCATTATTTCTTTGTGACACTGGTTTTTAATTTTCTTATGTTGGATATATTTGGATACTAGGAAAATAAACCTTCTCAACATAGTATTCATATGGACTTTAGAATGCAGCAAATACACATTTTAGTTGACTGATTCAGTTTTAAAATCAGTATTTAGTTAAAAGACCTAAAATGAAATATCATTATCATAGAATGAATTTCTAAGATACAAGAATAAATCTGAGATTTATTTAAAATCATAAGTTATGATTTCAACATTATAGGAATAACTTTGGTCTCTTGCTGACTTGCTTTTGTGATTACTGCATTTTTGCAATATTATAAATATTGCCTTTCAACTAAGATTGGTGAAGAAATTTTTTTTCCTAGCTCCAGTGGCGTCGGATACTGGTGATGATATAAAATTAAGTGATTAAACTTTCTTTTTTGAAAGTTTCAATTTCTGGACTCGAAGATTGGATCAGTAGTTACAAAACAGTTTTTTTGTTTGTTTTTTGAGACAGTCTCACTATGCCGATACCTCAGTAGAGTGCTGTAGCATCACAACTCACAGCAACCTCAAACTCTTGGCCTTACGTGAATCTCTTGCCTCAGCCTCCCAAGTTGCTGGAACTACAGGTGCCCACCACAACACCCAGCTTTTTTGTTGTTGTTGCAGTTGTCATTGTTATTTAGCAGGCCTAGGCTGGGTTCCAACCCCCCAGCTCCCGTGTTATGTGGCCAGTACCCTAACCAGTGAGCCATGGTTGAGCCTGCAAAGCAGTTTTATGACAGCAGTCCCAGAAACTAAAGCTTTGTGTACTGATTGAATAAGATGCTTCTGAATATTTTCAGAAATAGATTTATGATTGTACACATTCTAAAATTTTCCTTTATTTGTTGCTTCATACCATCATTTAGGAGAAAACTGTCCTAAAAACCTGGGATTTAAAAGGTGATAAGCAATGTTTGGCTTTCAGGATAAAATTCATTTATACTCAGCTTATATTACATATATCACATGCACAATAATTTAGGATTTTTCCTGAACTATAATGATGGGATACTTACAGCAGATATCATATAAAAAATACTTGCTTTTGGCTCGGTGCCTATAGCTCAAGCGGCTAAGGTGCCAGCCACATACACCAGAGCTGGCAGGTTCGAATCTACCCTGGGCCTGCCAAACAATAATGACAACTACAACTAAAAAAAAAAAAAAAATAGCTGGGTGTTGTGGCAAGCGCCTGTAGTCTCAGTTACTTGGAAGGCTGAGGGAAGAGAATCACTTAAGCCCAAGAGTTTGAGGTTGCTGTGAGCTATGACACCACGGCACACCACCCAGGACAAAAGCTTTGAGACTCTGTCTCAAAAAAAAAAAACTTGCTCTATTGGTATATGTGTTTTTTGGTTTTGGACAGTCTCACTCAGTGCCCCGGATAGAGATAGAGTGCTGTGGTATGGTGAGCCACTGGGCTCGGCTTGTATAAATGTTTGAATAGTTTTCTTCAGCTGCTTTCTGCAAATAAACTATTTTCAGGCCTGGCATGGTGGTTTAGGCCTGTAATCCTAGCATTCTGTGAGGCTGAGCAGAAAGATCCCTTGAGTCTCAGGACTTTGAGACTGTCCTGAGCAAGAGGGAAACCCTATCTCTACTAAAATAGAAAAAGTTAGCCAGATGTTGCATTGTGTACCTGTAGTCCCAGCTACTCCATAGGCTGAGGCTGGAGGATCTCTTGACCTCCAGGAGTTTGAGGTTGCAGTAAGTTAGGCTGATGCCACCATACTCTATCCTGGGCAACAGAGAGAGATGCTGTCTCAAAAAAAAAAAAAAGGCAGAAAAAAAAGAAACTGTTTTCATTTGTCCAGTTAGCCTTTTTAACACGTAAGAGCTGCTATTGTATTTTTTTTTAATATCCTGATAAAGTAACTCCAAAATCTCTTGTATGTTATAAAATACATCTTTGGCTAAAGTACAGGGATGCAAGTGGCCGGCTGTCGTCCCACTTAGAGTCAGTAATTCTCTGCATGTTCTGCTACAGTCACTTTCTATACATACGACTAAACAAAAGTGCATATGTTTGAAAGTCCTGCATTACTGTGGCTTTCTTCATATCTATTCTTTTGTCAATGACAGTTACATAGCAATTTTTTTTGAGACAGAGTCTTACTATGTCGCCCTGGGTAGAGAGCTTTGGCGTTGTAGCTCACAGCAACCTCAAACTCCCTGGCTTAAGTGATTCTCTTGCCTCAGCCTCCCCAGTAGCTGGGACTTCAGGCACCCGCCACAATCCCCAGCTATTTTTGGTTGCAGTTGTCGTTATTTAGCAGCCTGAGCCTGTGGATGTGGCTGGTGCCCTACTCACTGAGCTACTGGCATCCGAGCTGAGCACTTTTTAAAAAATGTGTTTTTCATTCTAAAAGTATTTCTCCAATCCGATCCAATTTATTGTTTCCTGTGAGACCTAGAAATGGCTGTAAAAGGTAAAGCTGAAATAGTTAAGTTCCTCATCAATTTACCATGTTCTATCATACTTAAAAAGACTTCTGTCCAAACATGAGATGCACAAGGTACAGGGGTGTATTTATTAATATCATTTACCATTTTGTGTACATAGGTTATATTTCATGAAAAATTTTTTCAGAAACATGTTGTCTAAATAAAATTTCTTGACTGGGATTCATAATTTTTGCAAATTTCACATACCTTTTATTTTCAAGTACTGAAAATGTTATCTAACAATTATTTCACCATATTTTTATTTAAGTTTTTAATTGGATTGACACAAATCTATAAAAGATTGTTTTACTAAAACATTCTTTTAAAATCTTGTTTTCAAGTTTGGTCAGTAAGAGTAAAATTTATTTTTTGGTCCCTAAATTTTTGCTAACCCTTCATTTTCTTCATATCCTTAATTTATTATGTCTGGACTGATAAGTTATCATGCATATTATATGCTATTTTGAAGTTTTTCCTTCCCTTAAAATTTTGGTTTGCCATGATTAACATTCTGCTTTTAATTTGTCCTCGTGAGATGTGAATAAGCAACCTTTTTCTTAAAAACATTATGTCCTAAATGAATTGAAATACTGTTCTTAGAGGTTATTTTGTTTCATTGTTATACCTGTTGATATACTAAAGAGTTCTATTGAGATTATAATTTTGACTTGATCAAAACCTTTTTGTTGGCTCGGCGCCTATAGCTCAACCGGCTAGGGCGCCAGCCACGTACACCTAAGGTGGCAGGTTCAAATCCCCAGCCCGGACCCGCCAAACAACAATGATGGCTGCAACAAAAAAAAAGCCGAGCCGGGCGTTGTGGCGGGCGCCTGTGGTCCCAGCTACTTGGGAGGCGGAGGCAGGAGACTCGCTTGAGCCCAGGAGTTGGAGGTTGCTGTGAGCTGTAAAGCCATGGCACTCTACCCAGGGGGACAGCTTGAGGCTCTGTCTCAAAAAAAAAAAAAAAACCTTTTTGTTCTGGTGTTATTTAGATTTACATAAATACTTGCTGGCTTAAAGAAGATATAATATTGTTAGTAAACTTGTTTGGCTGGTGTATTCTTTCTCAATTTGTTACCTATCAGTCTCTACCTATTTGTCAGTCTTTGAAAATCTTTAATAATTTTACATGGTCATAATTATTGTTTCATCTAACAGAATTTCAACATATCAAGGAAATTATTTTCCGCTAGTATAATTAGTATTTGGCTTCTACATGCTTCTCTGGTTTTCGTTTTTCCCTAAACAAAAAGATTTTCCACTCCTGATTAGATTTAGAATTTTTTTTTTTTTTTTTTGAGAACAGAGCCTTAAGCTGTCCCCCTGGGTAGAGTGCTATGGCTTTACTGCTCACAGCAACCTCCAACTCCTGGGCTCAAGCGAGTCTCCTGCCTCCACCTCCCAAGTAGCTGGGACCACAGGTGCCCGCCACAACGCCCGGCTCTTTTTGGTTGTAGCCATTATTGTTGTTTGATGAGTCTGGGCTGGATTTGAACCCGCCACCTTAGGTGTACATGGCTGGCGCCTTAGCCGGTTGAGCTATAGGCGCCGAGCCTGTTTATAGATTCTTAACTACTAATTTGTGGGTATTTATCTTTAAGCAGTATTGATTTAATGGAATTTATTTTCTTAAAAAAGATGGAGGTGCCCAGCGCAGTAGCCTGTAATCCTAGCACACTGGAAGGCCGAGGCGAGTGGATTGCCTGAGCTCAGAAGTTCAAGACCAGCCTGAGCCAGAGCAGGACCTCATCTCTAAAAATAGCCAGGTGTTATGGCTGGCATCTAGTCCCAGCTATTCAGGAGGCTGAGGCAAGAGGATTGCTTGAGCCCAAGAATTTGAGGTTACTGAGAGCTGTGATGCCACAACACTAGTGGGAGCAACAAAGTGAGAGAGTCTGCCTCAAAAAAAAAAAAAGATGGAGGAATGTGTTTGGATGAGCATAACCTGGTTTGAAATGAACAACTTGTAAAACTTTGAACAAAGAATTTGATCCTTTTCATAGATGGGTGCTGGTGATAATTAACTCTTCTTACCATTTAATTTAAGTAGAAAACATAGTTTTAAAGTTTTATTTTTTAGTTGTTATTTCACACTTCTGAAAAGAATTATCTAAAGTGTTGTTGATTGATTGCTAGCCAGATGCTCATTTGGCTGCTGCAGAAGAAGCAAAACGATTGGAAGAACTGCAGAAACAGGCAGCACAAGAGAGAACGCAACAGTTTGAGAAGGCACATGTGCGGGGTTTCCAAGCAATGAAAAAGATCCACCTGGCCCAAGTAAGAATTGAATTCTCTCTGACCACTAAAGATGGACTTGCTGATAGCATTGCAGAGCTGATTAGTGAATGCGCTCAAAGAAGGGTGGGGAGGGTTGTAAATACTGTCTCTGATTCATAGGATTTTAAATTTCCTAACTTTCTTTGCCCTCCTGTTTGAAGTTTTGTTAAGCTATTCTCACAGTGTTACTGCTGTTCTAAAACTTTTTTTTTTTTTTCTTTCAGTTCTTAGCAAGGGCTGGGTTTGAACCTGTCACCTCCGGTATATGGGGCTGGTGCCCTACTCCCTTGAGCCACAGGCACCGATCTCTGTTCTAAAACTTTTACTGATGAATTTATTAAAAGTTTAATATTCTAATCAGTGCAGGAAGAACTGGAGAAGAAATTAATCACTTTTCAAATATAATTTTTTAATTGTATTTGTGCTATATAAATTTGAGGATTTTAATTCCTTAAATATTTATTGATCAAAGCAGCTTTTGGCTTTGCAGAACATTGATTCAAAAGTAAAGTCATGATCCTGCTATCAAGGAGCTTTAAAAAAGTGCCTGTCAGAGATGTGCAAAATATGTGTCATGAAACTGGCCTTATGGCTGTGCCTTTACTTCTGTCATGTTTATTCATTTAGTGTTTAACTTCTGAAATGTAGCATAGAACTAATTCTTAATTCTGACTAGTGATGTGGGTGTTTTTAAACACCCATTTAGGAATGAGTTTCTAACAAGTACTTAAAAACTCATTGGGAATTAAATATTTAGAAAAGTTTATGTACATAATTTAAACTAAATCATAAGCTTCTCCCTTAAATTTTTAGCTTTTATATCCTGGGAGTGAATTATTACTATAATAGCTGAATGTCTAAATTATTGTCAGTAATTCTGACAATTAAAGCTTAAGCCTATAGAAAAACACACGTGAAAAGCAGCCATAAATTGTACAGATTCTTCCATAAAAGCAGTAGTGGGCTCCATAGTCTTTCTGCTAGGATTTTCCTCTCTTCTTCACTAATTAGCTGTTTGATCTCAGGCAAATTATTTAGCTTCTCTGAGCTCTGTTTCATCATCTATTTTTTAAGGATTAAATGATGTTAGAAAAGAAATGTGCCTTGAATTTCCTAAGTTCCCAGGAAGTGGTCGTGGTTAGTGGTCATTGCTATTATATAATCTAAGTAGAATAATATTCCAATCTTTCAGTCAGCTAGAATAGTATACTTATTCAAATAACTTTGAAGTTAATTTAACAAGATGATTAAAATCTTAATATAGGTGAAATAAATTCACTTATAATTCTTTTTCAGGGCATAGCAAAAAACAAAATTATCCCAAGTGACAAACACTTTGTTATGCAGGCTTTCTCCACCTTATTATAGACTTGATGTCACTTACATAAGAATAGTTGTTAAAAATAGTCGAATCTCACTGCTAATAGAGGATTTCCTTTTTCTTGTCTGAACCTTTCTGCTGCAGACTGTTTTTGTGCCTTGAGGCCTTGTTTTCTGCTCGTGTCTGTGGACACTAGTATTTGGCCTCTACCTGCTTCTCCAGTTTCCATTTTCTTTAATCGCCCTTGCCTTCCGTGCCCTAGTTATGAGGCTCAGTGTATATTCTCTGAATACCTCATTCCTTTATCTGCATACCTTTGTGTGGCAGTGGTTTTTTCTTCCACATACTCATTCTCTTTTACCCACTTTTATCTGATAAATCCCTATCCCAGGGAATGTGACATCTTCCTTTATTCCCCTCTTAGGGCCTACCTCCAAAATTCAGTTAGATAACTTCACTAAAACACTGTGCTTACACTTTCATATAAGCCACACTCTTCAAGCTTAGAGGAATACATTCACATCCCCTTTCAATCATGGGGATTCATGAGAGTGTGAAGTAGCAAGAAATATTTTCTCTTAAGCCTTGGTGTTTTGGTCTTAAGTGTCTGGTTCTTAAGTGTCTTGAGTCTTGGTGGTTATATGAAACAGATATATGGAGAATTGGAACAAAGTTAGGAGCCGTGGCAACTTACATACAAAATAACTTTATGACTTTGCTCAGAAAGAAAAACTAAGACTGTAGATAATTCTTGAACCACCCTCTCATAGCACTTACTAATATAATACTACCTGTTTGTTGGTCTCACTAGTAGGCTAGAGTTGAGATTGTATCCCTAGCACTTAACATGGTATCTGGCATTTAGCAGATATTTGTTGAATAAATAGATGAATTATTGTCTTTTTGTGGTAGAACAAATAGCAGAGGATGAGGGGCACGGTAAGGCCCTACTCCTCACAATTTCTACCACTTTCCCCCGTTATTAATGTTACTATACAAATTTGTGATTCAGCTGTCATTCGTTCTCTTTATTCTTGAAGAATCAAGAGAAACTAATGAAAGAACTCAAACAACTACAACAAGAGGACCTGGCACGTAGGAGACAGACTGTAGCACAAATGCCACCACAACTGGTTGAACTTCCATACAGACGCAGTGAAATGAAAGAAGACTGGCAGAGAGAGTTGGAATTCGCCTTTGAAGATATGTATAATGCAGACAGGAGTAAGATGCTTTCAGTAGACTTTCAATAGTGTGTTTAAATGTTTGGGTGGGAAAGTATATTTGTAGTGATAAAGCAGGTTTTGATAAGAGTTCTGTTTTGAAAAAGGCCCTCACATTTTACTATGTGATGGCCTTTAAAATTTTGTGATCAAATTCTTTTTAATCATTTTGGAATGGAAATTTGTCTCTATATTTCTTTATTAAGAGGTGAAAGGAAACCTGATTTTGCACCTTGAACCAGAGCCTTTGCCCACTGTGACTGATCAGATCCAAGATGAAGAACTGAACCTTTCAGTGGAACAAGAAAATTTAGATGAAGCTGAAAACCTTCCAGTGACAGAAGCTGAAAGAATATGTTCTAGTGAAACAGACGGTAAAAACCCCTTCTGAGCTGAACATCACAGTATTTCACAGGGAAGAAAATGTTAATCATTAGCCAATAATTAGGAATATCTGGTTTATTCTAAGTGCAAACAATGACTAATAGTAATTGGAGTGGTGGCAAGAGAAAACATTCTTATAGTTGCATCATTAAAGATCCTTTACATAGGAGGAAAGCTATTTTATACATATGTACATATAATTTGATGATTGCTATTTAAGTTTGATGCTGAATTTTGCATTTTTTTGGAAGGTTAGCATAGACATTCATCAAATCACCAGAGAGCCTGTTGTGCTCAGTGATTGCTGGTACTTCCCGTATGATGAGGAATAGCACAAACTGGGGTTGCCTAACCTTCATCTCTATCCCTAGCATTCTGAACTTTTTTTCTTGGCTGTCAAACAAGTGCGTAAATCTCAGTGTCTAACAATAAACTTATCGTCACTTGCCTGCTGAAGCCCTCTCTTCCTCTCTCCCTTACCGTAGTGGATGGTGTCACCATGTGTAATTACCCACGCTGGGCCCATGTGAGTTACCTTTAATATTTCCCTCCCTTTTACCTCCACATCTTCTCTTTGTAAAATGACCTCTTTTCCTCCCCCATATTTACTGCTATTGGCTTTGTTTAAAACCACTCAGCCCTTTCTTATTAGCCCCGCTCCGCCCTCTGGTGTGGGGTAGCCCTTGGGGGTTCCAACTTTATGTAGGTCTCCTCAGGTTGGGGCTCTTTATCTCTTACGCCCGCACTGCTATCCGGACAGAAGTGTGAGGTTACTGGGTTTTGACTTCTGTGTAAACTTGGCAGAAGGTGATTTCAGGACTCACTTGCTTTCCATGCAGGTTTGGATTTAAATTTCATTTTTGAACTCTCCAGAATCTTTTGCTTTCATACCAGATCAGCAGTGTCTTTAGAAAGTTATTTTCACTATTTCATTCAGCTTTTTCCATTATTTTCATTGGGAGTATCATTCATATTGCTAGTCTGTCAAAATTAGAAGCTAACAGGAAAATTTTTGTTTGTTTGTTTGTTTGTTTGTTTTTGAGACAGAGTCTTACTTTGTCACCCTCGGTAGAGTGCTGTGGTGTCACAGCTCACAGCAACCTTAAACTCTTGGGCTTAAGTGATTCTCTTGCCTCAGCCTCCTAAGTAGCTGGGACTACAGGCGCACGCCACAACACCTGGCTGTTTTTAGAGATGAGGTTTCACTTTGGCTCAGGCTGGTCTTGAATTTGTGAGCTCTGGCAATCTACCCACCTCAGTCTCCCAGAGTGCTAGGATTTCACAGGCGTGAACCACCACGCTGACCTGGGACAATTACTCTTTAAAGCCTGCGCATCCTATTTGGAATTACTTTGATTTTTAAAAAAAAGCTAGGAATCCCATTGTTTTTTAATCTTTATTTTAAAATTTTGGCAACTATTGCTTCTCAGTCTTTTGGCTAAGATTAGGCTTAGTAAATATTAGTAACTAATTTGTTTATTGAAAAAGAGTGAGGGCTGGCACAGTGGCTTATTCCACTATGTAATCCCAGCAATTTGGGAGGCCAAATTAGGAGGGTCACTTGAAGTCTGGAGTTTGAAACCAGCCTGAGCAAGAGTAATATCCCTGTCTCTACAAAAAATAAGAGATTAGCTACTTGGGAGGCTGAAGTAGAAGGATCATTTGAGCCCAGGAGTGTGAGGTTGCAGTGAGCTATGATGATGCCGCTATACTCTAACCAGGGCAACAAGAGTAAGAACCTGTCTCCAAAAAAATAAGTAAATAAATAAAAGTAGGTGGATTAATGGTGAGTGAAATGAAAGACTCCAGTCAGAAAAGAATACCTAAGTTATGATTACATGTTTCTATGAAGTTTTGAAAAATACAGGCAAAACTAATCTGTTGTTTTGAAGTTAGAATAGTGACTGTCTTTAGGAGTACATTGATTGAGTGGAAAGAGGCATGAAGAAACCTTCTAGGTGCTGGAAACACTCTATATACTTTTCTGGATGTTGTTACATGACCGTAAAATTCATTAAGCTGAACACTTAGGTTTTTGTACCTTATTGTTTGTAAGTTATAACTCAGATTGTTTTGGACTTTTTTTTTTAGTTTAGGTTAGATAAAACCACAGTCTGCCAGTTTTTAACTTATTAAACATATTTTTAAATTTTATTCTTTAATTAATCCATAGAACTATGTACTTGCATCATTTTTGTCCTTTTAGAGAACTGCCAGTATTATACTAAGTTTTGGCATTGTGCCATCAGCCCATGTGGGAAAATGTTTGAAGAAATAACTTTATGGTTTTTTTTTTTTTAACTGAAGGAATCTGTTTATGAAGATAGGTAGGAGAAATTTTTCCCAGATAGTACCAGGAATAATTTGGGAACAATTGATTTGCTTTTTGGTAATAACGAATCATGTTTTCCTCTAGTTTAGTAAGAACAACAGAGCTATATGTGGGACTGTTATCTAGCATAGAATATAGAATCTCACAGCCCATATTTATAATATTAATCTTACCAATTAATTAGAAGGTACTGTATTTTGCTGCATAAACATGCTCCTGTATGTAATGTGCACCCATATTTTTGGCCTATACTTTTAGGAAAATGCTCCTCTAGAAAGGAGCTGGCTTTCAGCTGGGAGAGACGTATCTTGGGAGGGCTAACACTGCCCTGGTAAGATGTACATTGCACTGCCTGCCTGCAGCTGCCCACTCTGAAGGCTGCCCCTTCTCTCTCCTGGGAGCCCTTCCCTCCCAGCTGTCTCAGAAGCCACAGTGGAGATGGCCACAAACATGGCTGGTGGAGTGGGAGCTCCTGAGGCTGCTTAGCCCACAGGCAACCAGGCAGGTCCCTGGGGCTCCCAGTCTCCTTCCCATGGCCGAGCCTTGGCTTTGGCCACCTACCTCACCAGCCCCACCACCGCCCTCTCCTCTGATTGTAGCACTCACTCGAGGCCACTCCACCTAGCTCCTCCCAAGCAGGAACCCCATGCAGCTGGCAGGCCCAAGTGGGAGGGCAGCTGCCCAGGAGGTCTGCTGGGCTCCCCTGCTCCTGTGACTTACTGCTCATGCATAAGGTGCATCCCTATTTTTCCCTCAAACATTTTGGGAAAAAGTATGCATTATATACTATATTTTTGCCATCACTTAATAAGGAGAATAAATATCTTCCTGGTAAGTTTTTTGTTTGTTGGTAGTATTTTTTTTTTTTTTTTTTGGAGACAGTCTTACTTGGTTGCCTTGGGTAGACTGCTGGAATATCAGAGCTCACAGCAACCTCAAACTCCTGGGCTCAAGCAATCATCCTGCCTCAGCCTCCTGGCCTCCCAAGCAGTTGGGACTATAAGCACTCACCACTCCATCTGGCCAGTTTTTTTATTTTTAGCAGAGACAGAGTCTCTCTCATGCTCAGGCTGGTCTTGAACTCCTGAGCTCAAGCAATCCACCTGCCTCTGTTTCCCAGAGTGCTAGGATTACAGGCATTAGCCACCAAGCCCGGCCTCTTCCTAGTAAAGTTTTAAGCTTGAAATTCATGTTACATGCATATTTTTGGAAAATAGTTGAATTTTGGCACCTTTGCTATTTAAATTTAAGTTGAAAAATTATTGCTAATTATAAAACAGTGATTCGAGTCAAATAACATTGTTGTATGTACTATTAAATTGTAAATATTGAGGAAAATAAAATTGTGCTTTTAACTAGTGGTTATGGTGGTAACTGAGCATGAAGTTACAACAATTTGCCTGATATTAAATTAGTGCTGAGTAAGTTTTTTCTTTCTTTCTTTTAGTTCCCTTGGCAATGAAGACCCAAGAGATCCCTTCAAAAGTTCTTTTCAAGAAATTATTAAATAAGATCCGAAGCCAAAAATCTCTCTGGACAATTAAATCCATGTCTGAGGATGAAACTGAAATGATTACAAATAGTGAAACTGGTAGTAAAGCATCAACAGTCGAGTCAGGAACGATTGTCAGCAAAGAGAGAGCACCATCCTCTGGACAGGAGCAAGGTGGTTCTTTCTAAGAGTCTCATTTTATATAAATCTTTTTTAAGTTGTTTGAAATATGCTCATTCCTGAAAAAAAACCAAAGTATTATATAGAAGTCAAAAGGAAGAAAATATTATTCTGCTACTTAAAGGCTACAAACAAATGTGAAAAATCTTAGTAAATCACATTCCAGACCACTTTCAATATAGTCCTGTTATTGGTATACCTGTATATGTATTAATTCCAGTGTAGTCAAGGAATCAAATTTAATAGTTTCTTATTATTTAGGCTATTTCTTATTTTTCTTGGTACTTCTTGTGCTGCGGTAGGCATCCTTTTGGTGAAGTCTTTGGGTAATTATGTAATAGTTCTGTCTCCCACTCACCCTGTAAAACCTCCTTGAGGTACCTACTTATGTAGGTAAGTAGGCCTTATCTAAGGACACCATGGTGAATGAGAAAAGGCCTCAGTCTGTTCCCTTCTTTCATATCCTACATCCAAACCCTCAGCAAATCCAGTTGGTTCTGCCCTCAAAATATCCAAAGCCCGATCATTTCTTTCCAACTACATCTTCACATAAGCCCTGTTTGTTTTCTAGGGTGGGTTCCTGTAGTAGACTGCTGTCGTCAGCTTTTGCGTCTCCCTGTTATAGTCTGTTCACAGAGTAGTCCTCTTAAACACTCAGATCAGCTCATGTAATTTCTCTGGGTGAAACCCTCCGATAACTATGAGTTTTACTCAGTAAAAACCAAAGTGCATATAGTGACTTCAAAGTCTTCCATGATCTGTGCACACACCCCCACCACTACTCCCACCCTCTCTCTCTCTTTGGCTGCATTTTCTCCACACTTTCCAGCCATTGCACTGTAGACACCAGCTTCCTTACTCTTCCTCAAACTGAGCGAACAGATGACTTTACAGTTGCTTATCTTTTTGGCTAATTTTTGTATTTTTAGTAGAGACAGGGCCTTACTTTTGCTCAGGTTGATTTTGAAGTTCTGACCTCAAGTGATCCTCCCACCTTAACCTCTCAGAGTGCTAGGATTACAGGTGGGAGCCACTATACCTGGCCTAATTTTGTAATTTTTCCTGGAATAATTATATGATGGTTCTGTCCCGGGGCTGGGTATGGTGGCTCATGCCTATAATCTTAGTACTCTGGGAGGCTGTGGCTGTTGGATTGCTTGAGCTGAGGAGTTCAAGACTAGCCTGAGCAAGAATGAGACCCCTTCTCTACTAAAAATAGAAAAACTAGCCAAACTATAGAAAATAGTTCCAGCAACTCAGAAGGCTGAAGCAAGAGGATTGCTTGAACACAAGAGTTTAAGGTTGCTGTGAGCTATGATGATGCCATAACACTCTGCTCAGGATGACAGAGACTGTTGTCTCAAGAAAAAGCTGGTTCTATCCACCACTCATTCTGTAAAACTTCCTTGAGACCTTTTCTTGTTCACCATGTGTCCCTAGGTAAGGTATACTTCTCTAGCACATATTTGCAAGTAGGTGCCGAATAAGTAATTGAGTAAGTGAATGGATGCTCCATGGAAAGTGGCCACCCTGATATGATCAGAATAAATTGCTTTAACTTATCCACTATGGTTTCACAAATAAAAATCCTAGTATGTTAAGTATATGAGGGCTACATTGATATTTCTTTTGCTTTTCTTTTTTTTTTTTTTTTACTTAGATACCTTGTTTATTCTATTTAAGCTTTTTGATTGTGTTTGAAATTCCATATATCTTTTTAATCTGTTCTTCACTGTTTCTTTTTTCATGATTTCAGTCTTCTTATGTCTTGGGTTTAATGAGTAATATTAATATATCTGCTCAGCAGAAGGACTGGTTCTTTTTTTTTTTTTTTATGAGACAAAGTCTCCCTGTGTCGCCCTTGGTAGAGTACCATGGCATCACAGCTGACAGCAACCTCAAACTCTTGGGCTTGAGTGATTCTCATGCCTCAGTCTCCTGTGTAGCTAGGATTACAGAGATCCAACACAATGCCTGGCTATTTTTTGTTGCAGTTGTCGTTGTTTAACTGGTCTGGGCTTGGTTAGAACCCGCCATCTTGGTGTATTTGGCTGGCACCATAACCACTGTGCTACAGGCACCGAGCCAGAAGGACTGGCTCTTAATTGAAACATTCAGATAGACCAAGATTGAATTGTGAATCTCAGTGCCAGAGTTTTGTTATTTTGCTCTAATTTCTTCTTGACAATGATAATATCTTCATAATAACAGTAGTATTATCTATTAACAGTTGTTGAGAGTGATACACTGACGATTGAGTCTGGACCACTTTCTAGTGAAGATGATAAACCACTTTCATGTAGTCCAAACTCTGGAAAGGAACAAGGTATTTCTTTTTATCACATCCTTAAGCTAAAGATGCTTGACTCCTTTTTTATTGCTAACAAAATTACATGTAAGCAATGAAGAAAGAACATTATTGCAGTATCATAATTCTCAATTATTGCAACTTATTTTTGTTTGGGGGATTCTATTAGAAATAAATGAGACTTCGCCAGTCACAGCTGTAGCTCAGAGTTCAGTTCTACTTCATCCTCAAGAAGAAGCAACCAGAATTAGAATGTCGGCAAGACAGAAACAGGTAATTTAAAATTTTATTTTAAAAATTTTCTTTTTAACCTCAGATACTGTAATTTTGTTTGAGAAATGAAATTTGTTTAAATGTCTGTCTACTTTCGATACCATGTTTTCTGCTTGGTCTTACACATCCATTTAGCTGTAGAATCCATTTGGTCTTTGCTCATGCTACTTACTTGACCCTTGCTACATCTAAATACATCTAAATACAAAGCAGTATTTTAGACTTTCATATATATCTTACCTGTAAAATGTGTAAGTTTTTAAAAGCAGAGGCTATTTCCTTAAAAATTCAATTTATCTAACATAGTTTATGATACAATGCCTTGATTAGTAAATGCACAATAAATATTTATTGAATTAATGGGTCTTTGTCATAATATTATTTCTTTTAACCCACATTACCTTGAAGGAGGCTAATTATTGCTAAGCCAGTCAGTTTATAGTCATAGTTAGTTTTTCAAATACACAGCTGGGAAATGAGAATTATGTGAGCCAGTATTTCTTCTCAGATAAATGTTTTCTAATCGATAGTCTGAAATAGTGAGTAGGACTTCCTGTGATGACAGAAATGTCCCATATCTATGCCCAATATGGTAGGATAGAATACTTGAAGTGTGACTAGCATAAGTGAAGAACTGAATTTAAATTTGATTTAAATTGAGTTTAAGTTTAGTCATATGTAGCTAGTGACTACTGTATTGATAGTGCAGTTCTAGAGATGTTACAGAACTGTAAACAATCTAAATTCAGTGGCTCCTGTAATGAAATAAAGTAAGGAAGATGAAGACAGGAACTCTGCTGAAGCCACTATTGCCTCAGTAGGAATAAATAAGTAAAGAATCAGATCTTTTATTTTAGAAACAAGATCATTCTTCATTATCGCTAGTGGAAGTACTCCTACTTAATTCAGTGAATATGTATCTGTGTCAGGGACTGTACTGTAGTCCTGACCCCTAACTTTTGGGGGATATGTTCCATCATCCCCTCTAGATGCCTGAAACTGCAGATAGTACCCAACTATATATATCCGAATTGCTTTTTCCTTTCCAGTTTCATAAACAGGAGATTCATTCATTGTTAACCATAGATTTTAGCAAGCTTAGCACACCTTTGTCTTTACTCATTAAGTCAGGAACTTTTACCTTTTCACTTAAAGGAATCACTTTACAACTTCTGTGATATATCTGAATTACTAATATCACTTCTCTTTGCACTTTGGGGCTATTATGAAGTAAAATAAGGTCTGCTTAAACCATAGGCACTGTGATAACTGTGACAGTCAGTCTTATAACCTGGATGGCTCCTGAGTGACTGGTAGGTAGAGTCTGCATTGTGGATATGCTTGACAGAGAGACAATTCATGTCCTAGGCAGGGAAGAGCAGGACAGAGCAGGATGGCACAGGATTTCATGCTATTTAGAACAGTGTACAGTTTAAAACTTAAATATTGTTTATTTCTGGAATTTTCCATTTAGTATTTTCAATCAGCTGTTGACTGTAAGTAACTGAAACTGCTAAAAGCTAAACTGTGGATGGGGGGAAACTGAGGTACTGAATTTGGCAGGCTGGTCTTTATCCCCATAAACCTTAGAGTTACTCATGCGTGTTTGTTCATATTACTTGCAGTATATGTGTACTTGAATAATACTAGAGTTGATGTGTCATCCTTCGCCATTTTCTTCCTCAGAATGTTGTTCATTGTACTATTATTTAGCTTCTAGATAACTACACCTCTTAACCATGTGCCTAAGAAATCAAAGTTTTTTGGGAAGCTTGGTATTTAATTTCTTTAATCATTATTCATACTAGCAACAATGTATCAATAAAATTAAAGGTGTGAACATAGAATTTGGCTGCACATCATTTGCTGCTTCTCTGAAGGTGCTTCTCTAGTGTTGATCAGGGTTTCACCGTGCTCCCAGAACACAGAAATAGTTAATGGGCTTATCCTTTCTTCTGCCTCTTTTTATTTCTGTCCTTTTTTCTCTTTTCCCTCTTTTTTTTCTATCTTTCCCTTTCATCCTCAATAATAAAGATTAAAGCATCACAACTTACCTCTTGGATGATTGTTAAGTGTGATGATGAGACATGTTTCTTTTCAGTATAATGCTTATCAGTCTTTCTTATGGATGAACTTGTTAACAGATCAATAGTATTTTTGCTACCTAGATAATGGAAATAGAAGAGCAGAAGCAAAAGCAGTTGGAATTACTTGAACAAATTGAAGAACAGAAATTAAGATTAGAAACTGGCTGCTTCAGGGCTCATCTGGAAGAAGAAAAAAGGAAAACCACTCAACCGACAAGGGTAGGATGCAGGAAACCTTGTCCTTCCATAAACCATGGGCAGGGGCAGGAAAGATGAGCAGTCAGAGCTTTTAGAAAAGTAAAATGCTTTTTTTTCTTTTTTTCCTTTTGAGACAGTCTCACTTTGTTGCCCTCGGTAGAGTACTCTGGCATCACAGCTCATAGCAACCTCCAGCTCCTGGGCTTAAGCGATTTTCTTGCCTTAGCCTCCCGAGTAGCTGGGACTACAAGTGCCTGCCACAATGCCTGGCTTTTTTTGTTGCAGTTATCACTGCTGTTTTTTAGCTGGCCGGTGCCAGGTTCGAACCCGCCACTCTCTGTATATGGGGTCGGTGCCCTACCCACTGAGCCACAGGCGCCACCTGTAAAATGCCTTTCTAATTCTATTTGGTCACTTCTTTTAATAATATGTACATATATAAATACATTCGCACCAGCACAAGGGCTAGTACATTACTAAATTTCTTACTAATGGAAGTACTAATCTTTTTATGAAAATAAAGCTATTTGGAAGTTTTTAATTATAGAAATTTAGTTTATATAAAATACTTCAGTGCTTGTTTCTGAAATTGCCTTTTAATTCATAGCTTTATCTTTTATCAGGTTGCTGTTGCTTCAGCCTCATGCACTACGGTTTGTGATGAAGATAATCATAGGCAGATGATTCATAACTATCAACATCAGCTTTTACAGCAAAACAGGTATTAGCTAGGATATAATTTATTTGTGATAGTATGTGGCTACATTTTTAAGATTTTTTATTTGGTTTATATTAAGATCATATTGGGATCCCCTTTGAACTGTGGCATATACAACTATGCCCTTCTCAAAGGGAAGTATATTGTTTCTTTTCCTCCATGATTACAGCCAACCCTAGATAGCGGTTTCTTAATGTATAGACACTTGAGTATCTGAGGCTTTTTTTTGTTGTTAAAAGGGAATACTATGTGTTTGTTTTTGGTAGGTTACACAAACAGTCTATTGAAACAGCCAGGAAACGATTACTTGAATATCAAGCCATTTTAAGAGAAAGGTACCCATCCATGTCAGCTCCATCATTGATCTCTGATTCCACTGCATCAGTACCACCACTGAAATCTAAAAGACACACTGCCGTATCAGAGCATCTGGACCAAGCTCAGAGATCCAAGCTGAGTCCTAACAAATATCAACCCATACAACCAGCACAGATGTCCAAATCAGAACAAGAACATTTTCAAGTACCAAGACAAAATCACTTTCTACAAAAACAGATAGAAACAGTGGAAACATTAAGGATTCCAGATGATTTAGCTAAGCAGTCTTTAGAATCACAAGCACATCTAGGGCAATTCTCACAGACTGAAACACAACAAGACTATAAATTGATCCGTAAAGATTCTCATACACTTTCAAGGGCTTTGTCGGATGACAGGCCACTAATATTACAGGATGTTACAAAAATACCTGAAACATTTAGGGCACCAACTCTTCAAACTTTAGATTTCCAGCAAATATTCTTGGAGAATAGTGAAAATGCATCTAAGCTAACTGAACCATCTTCATTCTTCCCACTGATACCTCAGCGTTCTTTTGGACTTCTGCCTATTAAGGTTGAATCTGGAAAATCGCAAGAACCCTTGTCAACCACAAGCAAAAGTGCAGTTTCCACAGGCCATTCTGTAATCAGCCAAATGCATGATAGGTCTTTGCCATCATCAGAGAATATCGCAGCACAGCAAGGTAATTTGAAGGCTCTGCAAGAACAGTTAGACCAACAGAAGGAAGTTCTTCAGGCAAGACAGGAAGCTCAAGAACAATTACTTTTGTGCAAACAGAAAGAATTGGAAGAGCAAATGGGCCTCTCTTTGTTCCTTCCGTTGGTAGCTCCAGATTCAACTGCTTTACTGCCTTTTGCCAAAGCTGAACTAGGGAGAATCCAGGAATCTGCTCCAGCCAAGAAAGACACTGCAGTTTCATCAGAACATCCTGTAGTCCCACAGGTTCAGAATAGGCTTTTAAATCTTTTAGAGCCTATCTTACCACAGCAAAGTAATTTAAAATTTCTCCAAGACCAGGTGAACATTGAGAGGGATAACCTTCAGGCAAGACGGGAAGCCCAGGAAGTGTTATGTTTACATAAACAGAGTGAATTAGATAGAAGAGAATGGTCTGAACAGGCCGAGCCCTCTTCCCTCCCGTTTCTGGTTGCTCAACATACATTTACTTCGTTATCTTCTGCTGATAAAAAATTTGGCAGTGTCTGGGAGCAGTATCCATCTAAGAGTGAGAAAGGACTTCTCTCAAGCCAGGCTGAAATCTCAAAATCTCAGGATGGGTCATCAGGTTTCCTACAGCAGTTCCTACCTCCACATGGTAGTTTGAAGTTGCTCCAAGAACAGCTGACCACACAGAGGGATACTCTTCAGGCGAGGCATGGAACTCAGGCAGAATTACTTTTACATAGGCAAAGGGATTTGGGGGACACTAAGTCCAGGCAGATGAGTTCTTTCTCACCAATGGTTGTTCAACAGTCAGTTGCTTCACAAGCTTCCGCTAAAGCTGAGCCCAGGAAAATTCAGAAACATTACTTTTCGGAGGAGAATATAATTCCTTCTAGTCATTTGATAACCCAAACACTTCAGGATAAATCTTTTACTTTCCTACATCATACCCTGCCGAAGCAAGAAAATTTGGCAGCATTCCCAGAACAGTTACATACAGAGAGGGTGATTCTTGGTGTTAAAGAAGAAACTCGGGAATCTGTACACAAACAAAGTGAGTTGGAAAAAAGAATTTCTTATGAACAGACTGGAACCTCTTCCTCCCTGTCCCATGTAGCTGAATCTGAGAGCTTCCAGGAATATACATCAATCAAGAAGGATAGTACTGTTCCAGTAAGCCATTCTAAGAGCCCAAGATTTCAGGAAAGACTTTTGAGATTTTCACAACATATCCTGCCTGTACAAGGTAATTTGAAGGAACACCAAGAATGTCTAAACACTGAGAAAGAAGCCTTTCAGAAAACTCTAGAAAATACATGTGAACAAACTGTTTCATCTTCATTCATACCTCAGTTAGTGCAGGTTTCAGTTACTTCGTTACCTTCAGCTGAGTCTGGTACAACCCTGGAACCCCTTTCAGCAACAGAGAATGATAGAATTTCTTCAAGACATTTTCAGATCCCACAGTTGCAGGGTAAGCTTTTGAGAATATCACAACTTATCCAGCCTCAACAAGAAAACTTGAAGGCACTTCAAGAACAGTTAGCTACACAGAGGGAAGCCATCATTCAGTCTAGACGAGAAGCTCAGGAAGAATTGTTTTTACAGAAACAGAGTGAGTGGCATGGAACAGTGTCTCCTGAGCAGGTTAGCACCTTTTCCTTACCCCTGGGAGTCCAGCATTCAGTCACTTCCTTACCTTGTACCGAATCTGAAAACATGCAGGAACCTTGTTCAACTAACAGTGATGATACTGTCTCCTCAGGTCATTCTGAAATACCAAGATTGCCTGATAGGCTCTTGGGTTTATCACATCCTGTTTTACTTCAAGAAAATTTGATTGACCCTGGAGAACACTTACATGCACAGACAGAGTCCCCTCCTCCTTTTGAGAAAACCCAAAAAGAATCTTTTTTGCCAAAACCATGTAAATTTGAGGAAAAGGTCTTTTCTGAGCATCTTATCCAACAACCTTGCCATGGTGAGTTGCAAACACTTCAACAACAGTTAGCTACACAAAGGAAAGCAATTCAGTCTAGACAAGAAGTCCAAGAAGAATTGCTTTTGGGAAGGTTAAGTAATTTGGAGGAAAGGGTATCATCTGAGCAGATAAGCCCCTCTTCATTCTCACCTCAGGTAGCAGTGCCCATTGCTGACTCTGAAAGAACCCAAAAGTCTTTCCCAACCAAAAATGACAACACTACTTCCTCAAGTCATTCTGAAATCGCAAGATCACAGGATGGGCTTTTGGGTTTCTCACAGCCTTTGCTGCCTCAGCAAGATAATTTGACAGGGCAATTGGACTTACAAAGGGAAGTGGTATATTCTTACAACAAACCCCAGGAAGAACTGAACACAAGTGAATCTGCTGAGCATGCTGTCCCTTCTTTGTTCCTACCCAAGGAAACAGAGCATTCATTTATTCCACTACCATTTGCTGAAACTAAATCTAAAAGCATTTGTGACCTCTATTCATCCCAGAATGAACATGCAGCTCTCTTAGGTGATCCTATCCTCCCGAGATTTCAAGATACTCTTTTGAGTTTTTCACAGCCTAATTTAGCTCAGCAAGATAATGTGAAACTTCAGAAGCAGCTGGATCTACAAAAAGTGGTTCTGCATTGTAGCCAGAGAACCCAAGAAGAATTGCTTGTTCAGAGACAAACAGCATTGCAGCAGCAGATACAGAAACATCAAGAGACTTTGCAAGATCTCTTTAAAGACAGTCAGGTATGTTTTAAACTTGTATATATAAGAATAGAACAATGGACGTTTAAACTCAGCTAGTTTTGTCCCTAGGCTAACACATGTTTATTGAGATTAAGTAATTTAACTTTAGGTGTGCTTTAATTTTTCTACCCTAGACAGTGTGGAAATTAAAAAGTGATCTAGGCTCGGCGCCTATAGCTCAACCAGCTAAGGCGCCAGCCACGTACACCTAAGGTGGCGGGTTCGAATCCCCAGCCCGGACCCGCCAAACAACAATAATGGCTGCAACCAAAAAATAGCCGGGCGTTGTGGCGGGCGCCTGTGGTCCCAGCAACTTGGGAGGCTGAGGCAGGAGACTCGCTTGAGCCCAGGAGTTGGAGGTTGCTATGAGCTGTAATGCCATGGCACTCTACCCAGGGGGACAGCTTGAGGCTCTGTCTCAAAAAAAAAAAAGTGATCTACCTCCCATGGTGTTTATGATGTTACTAGTTATTTGAAGCCAAACTAATTTCAAATGCAAATACCACAAAAGAACATACATTCTCACTTGGAGTTTCATTATAATGGGTTTTAAGCTAAGATTAAAATTATAAAAATTACTGATAAGCATAGTTTGTCTTCTTTTTTTTTTTTTTGAGTCAGATTCTCATTCTGTTGCCCCAGGCTAGAGTGCCATGGCATCATAGCTCATAACAAATAAACTCCTGGACTCATGCATTCCTTCTATCTCAGGCTCCTGAGGAGCTAGGATTTGGGACTATAGCCAAGCTAGTTTTTCTATTTTTAGTAGAGATGGGTCTTGCTCTCGTTCTGGCTGGTCTTGAGCTTTTGAGCTCAAGGATCCACCCACCTTGGCCTCCCAGAGTGCTAGGATTACAGGAATGAACCACCAAACCCAGCCTCATAGTTTTTCTTCTCCAATAGCAATAGCAGACCTTGTTTTCTATGGATAGCACTTTATTGACATTTATATATGAATCAAAATCAGTGCCCACTTTTTTTTTTTAAGTGACATTATTATCTGTTGCAAAATTGGCATAATTTTAGCCCGATGGAGAGCTAGACCTGCTTGTTTCTGAATTATTAGGAAGACTTGGCATGGTCACTCATACATTCATAGTTCTCTACATGGGAGACAAGAGTGTCTTCTACATTTTAATGTATCCATTTTATTTTAAAAGGCCACTTCCTAAATTTATCATTTAGCCTAAACAGAATTCTACAAATCCTTTGATGTTTAGAAGCTGAGTTTAGGAAGAGTTTAGTTCTAGAAATTTACTGGTTATTTGAAGGAAAAGTAATGGCAAAAGAAAAGCAACGAGGGGTACTCAAGTATAATCTCTTACGGAAAGGTGTAGTGGAAGTCGAGTTTTTAGCGCCAGTGCTGTGTATGGTTGTACTTTTCAGTGGCCATAGCATTCTTTCCATATTGCAAGCGTATCTTATTTCTTACCTGTGTATACAATTGTAAAGTATGATTGATGAAACTTGTTATTTGGTTGAGGTGCTAACTTAAGAAGGGAGATAAGAATTTGATGAATTCTTTACATGATCTCTCGTCAACTTTTAGTCATCCCACCCTCATCTCTCTATACTTTTTCAGACAATGAAGCCCACAGCTGAAAGTGATTTAAAAACCCAGATGATGGGACAGCTCAGAGAATGGCTTCCTCCTGTCCAAGACCTATTTAGAGATGATCAGGAAAACATTAGTCATGCAGATAGGAGCAACTCTGATGGTAATCAGCTGGTTTCAGAAGATACCAGTGCCAAGCCAAGTGGTAAGATAAATGTGTTTTATTGTAACTATTCTGCTGATTATTCTTTGTTTTTATCTCCTGCAGCTCACTGGCTGATAAAAGTTTATAGTATGTTAATAGATTTTTTATTATGCCTAACTTTGTCATTGACTCGATAGGCGAGCATTTGGATAAAGAACTGAGTACTCGATCCTCAAAGCCACCTGTAGCAAAAGTTAAATGTGGTTTGGACTTAAACCAACACGAACTTAGTGCTATACAAGAAGTAGAATCACCAGCAAGTGGCAGAACCTCTATTCTAGGTAAATAAATAGTTTAATAAAAGAAATTGTTTTTAGTAGTTTGCAAGTTTTATACATTTTTTTCAGTGTGCTAATTTTTTTTTGTTGTTAAAGAAACAGGCTGTGACTACTTGTGAAAGGGAAAAATAGTTTAATCAACAGTATTTAAAATTTAAACTTAAGGAAATGTAGCATTAGGTACCTTTGTAGTTTCTTTGTCTTTACAGACACAAATTCTTTTGCTATCCCCTCTTCCTGACACTGTTGATCCTCCACTTCCTTTCATGTCTGCCTTCTGAATCTATTTGCTTAGGAGTTAACCTGTTTGATTTTTTTCCCCCCTCCTCTCTTTTCTCTTGCTACTTTTCAACTTTAGTATCTTTACTGCTCTTTTTTTATATCTTTATGGAGTTCTTATGCTTAAATCCTGGCTTTAAGAACAATTAGAACAGGTATATTTCTTCACTGTACTTCTATATATCCAGTTATATTAAAAAAGAAAATTCCTCCTTATAGTCCTTAGCAAATTGTCCTGTTAGAATTTCATTATTTATTTAGATTTCAACCTCACCAAATTATTTCTTTTTTTTTTTTTTTTTGAGACGGAGCCTCAAGCTGTCCCCCTGGGTAGAGTGACATGGCATCACACTCACAGCAACCTCCAACTCCTGGGCTCAAGCGAGTCTCCTGCCTCAGCCTCCCAAGTAGCTGGGACCACGGGCGCCCGCCACAACGCCTGGCCATTTTTTGGTTGCAGCCATCAGTGTTGTCTGGCGGGCCCAGGCTGGGGATTCGAACCCGCCACCTTAGGTGTATGTGGCTGGCGCCTTAGCTGCTTGAACCACAGGCGCTGAGCCACCAAATTATTTCTTGATCAAATTTATCAAAGCAAATCCTTCTTTTAAGGGGGAAATCTGGCTTTGCTAATAAAAAGGTACATAAAAGTTATATGTTAATATTAGTAATTTTGGTTTTCAGCCATAAAATTTTATGCCTGTATTTCTTTCTTTTTCTTTTTCTTTTTCTTTTTTTTTTTTTTGAGACAGAGTCTCAAGCTGGGTAGAGTGCCGTGGCATCACAGCTCACTGCAACCTCAAACTCTTGGGCTTAAGCGATTCTCTTACCTCTGCCTCCCAAGTAGCTGGGACTACAGCTACTTATTCCTTATTCCCACCACAATGCCCAGCTGTTTTTTGGTTGTTGTTGTCATTGTCGTTTGGCAGGCCTGGATTGGATTCAAACCTCCCAGCTCCGGTGTATGTGGCTGGCTCCCTAGCCAATGAGCTACAGGTGCCAAGCCTATGCCTGTATTTCTGACAAAAGAATTAAGGAAGGTAGAGTACAATAAAGAATCAGTCCCCTTTCTGCCTTCTACTAAGTTTGTGGGACTGATAGAATAATAATTTTATTTGTTACTCAGCTTTGGAAGCTTTTCCCCCATTTTGCACTATTTGACAAAACACAACACTTCAGGAATTGATTAGTGTTTTCCCTAATTTAAAATGAGCATTGACATATTGTCATTGATTCCTATAATGAATCATGTTTGAGATTATAAAAGTGTTATCTTGTCTAAAAGGAGAATCTATATATTCTTACCCACCTTCTTAGCCATCATCCATCTTTCTTTACTGAGAGGCATCCAGATGTGAAGTCTTGACCCTTTCCTCATTATCCCTCCCTAATACCTAATAAATCACCACATCTTCTTAGTTCTGCTTTGTGAGTTTGTGAACCTGTCCACTTCTTTCCATTCCTACTACCACTCGTTTAATTCATGGTATTATTCTTTTTTGTATAGCTACTACAACTCCCAGTGTCTCCTTATTTCCAGTCTTGCTTTAACTGCAGTCCATTTTCCCATGGTGTATTCAGCGTAATGTTCTCCGTGTTAAAAACTCTTCAATGCGGGTGTGGCACCTGTGGCTCAAGACTAGGGCACCGGCCCCATATACCAGAGGTGGCAGGTTCAAACCTGGCCCTGGCCAAAAACTGCAAAAAAAAAACCCAAACAACAACAAAAACTCTTCAATGCTTTCTTCTGATTGTAGGAATAAGTCTAAATAAGTGGATGTCTCTAGTATCACCTACCAGAGCCTTTGTGATCTTGCTCCTTCTCCCTTCAGGACTTGGCCCCCATTTATTCAGACATCCCTCTCATGTAGTCTTGGTAGCACTCCTCATAGGCTTTATCATACTTCACTGGGTAATATTTTTCATCAAAATATTATATGCAAATAGTTTAAAGGCCAGGTGTGGTGGCTCACACCTACAATCCTAGCACTCTGGGAAGCTGAGGGAGGAGGATTGTTTGATCCCAGGGGTTTAAGACCAGCCTGAGCAAGAGCTAGACTCTGTCTCTACTAAAAATAGAAGAAATTAGCTGGGAAGGAGCATCATTTGAGGTTACTGTGAGCTACGCTGAAGCCGTAGCACTCTAGCCTGAACAACAGAGTGAAACTCTGTCTTAAAATATAAACACATACCTCAATATAATTTTCCATGTAGTTCATACTTTTTTTTTTGGTGGATCATGTTTTAGTTTGAAGTTGCATGGCCCATACTCTGCTTTCTTAACATTTTCCCTAGGAGGGCAAAAGTTGGTTCTTGGCAAAGTGAAAAAAGCCTTACTTTTTTTACGTACAAAGCCACAAGTATACTTAAACATACAACACATTTGTAGTTATTAAAATTTTATGGGAGAAAGGGCAATTTGAAAAGGAAAAGTTGGCTAGGTGCTCGTAATTCAGTGGTTAGGGTGCTGGACACATACACTGGATCTGGTGGGTTCGAACCCGGCCCGGGCCTGCTAAACAGTGATAACTATAACAAAAAAATAGCCAGCCATTGTGGCTGGCGCCTGTAGTCCCAGCTACTTGGAAGGCTGAGGCAAGAGAATCGCGTAAGCCCAAGAGTTTGAGGTTGCTGTGAGCTGTGATGCCATGGCACTCTACCTAGGGACTCTGTCTCAAAGAAAACAAAAAAAGAAGAAAAGGAAAAGTCCCCTAATGATGAAAAATAATAAAAATGACAAAAATAAGGTTGAGACAGCCAAGTCCTGTGGCTCACACCTATAATCCTAGCACTCTGAAAAGGCAAGACGGGAAGATTGCTTGGGCTCAGGAGATTGAGACCAGCATAAGCAAGAATGAGACTGTCTTTAAAAAAGAAAAAAAAAAGGCTGAGAAACACTGATCTGTGTTGATCATCCAGGGTATTTCTTTCTTCTTGTTCTTCCCTATAGTTCATTTCTTTTGATTTTGCTTTCTGGGAAAATTTTCTTATCTTCCAATTTTTCTTTTAAACTTTTATTTGGATTATCAAATTGTAGTTTCTAAAAGGTTGTTCTTTTTCTCTATTTTTTTCCTTTTTCATAGCATCCCACTGTTGTTTCATGGATATAGAATGTTATCTACTTTATTTATAGATTTTTTGTTTGGAGTTATATTTTTTCTGTTTATTTTTTGTTCTTTGTGTCTTATATTGTAAAAGCTTTCCTCTAGTATCTTGCATATTTGAATGGGATATACAAAATCAGTTGTAGGTTCTGTGGGTGGGAGCCATATGTACCATTGGAGTTCATTGGAGAAGGTGTGGCCTTCCACTGAGAACCTTTACCTGAGCATCTGTAGTTCTTTTTGAGGTTCATCTTGAGGCAGTTTATAGTTCAGTTTATTCAAAGAAAGACCCACTTAAACTTGATATAAGCCTGGCTGTTGGTAGTAGGGATCTAAGTTGGGGATGCAGACTTTCTTTTAATATCCCATGATTTTCTTATGGCACTCTATCACCCTCTTCCACTCTTGCCCTCTTCCTGTGCCTAATCCCCGTGAATTCAATTTCTCCAGAGAGCAAACCTTTTGCTCTTCTGGGTATAAAGTAGAAGGACAAGGATCTCCGGAGACTGGAGGGATCCAACTGTTCCAAGTACATAGTTTTAAAAATCTCCCTGTTTTTAGTTCATTGGCACATATCTTCCTTTCATAATTCCTGGTGCTTTTAATTCCTAAATGTTTCTGGGATTCTACACAGTAAGTTAGCTTGCTGCTTCTTAGTGTCTCACGCTCCTTTGATTATTTGTTTTTATTTTTATATCAAAGTATAACATTGAGAGAGGCACACAAATTGTGTTTGTTTCATGGTTTATCACTGCCACTACCACCTCCCAAGTCAAGAACTGGAACATTAGAGAACCCCATAAACCCTTTGCTTACATCCTCTTAATTACTGTTCCCTCTCTTCTAAGCCCCATCTTGATTTTTTACATAATAGTTCTAGCGTTTTTTTTTTTTGAGACAGAGTCTCATTCTGTTGCCCTTGGTAGAGTGCTATGGCATCACAGCTCATAGCAACCTCAATCTCCTGGGCTTAAGCAATTCTTTTGCCTCAGCCTCCCAAGTATCTGGGACTCCATGCACCTGCCACAATGCCGGGCTATTTTTTATTGCAATTGTCATTGTTGTTTAGCAGGCCCGGGCTGGGTTTGAACCCACCAGCCTGAGTATATGTGGCTGGCACCCTACCCACTGAGCTACGGGCGCAATGCTAGTTTTAGCTATTTTCCAACTTCTTGTATGTATATTGTGAATGCATGTTATACCCTGTAATACTAATAATGGTTATAAATTCTCCAGGCATTTTTCTTATTAGTAGTTAATACTGAAGCGTTATCTGGTATAGGAAATAAGGGTATCATTAAAACCTGAATAAAATTGAATTAAGATTTTTAATTTCTACCTACAACCTAAATTACCATTTTAGTTCTAGCTAGCTCTAGAAACCTAAGTGGAAATTTAGGAAGTCTTTTTCTTCTTCCCAGGTAAACTAGATTTTTATCAAGACAGAGACCCCACAAGAGTCTCAATAAGCCGAGAACAAGCTTTTCTTGGGAGCCCACTAGGCTATAATACATTTGGTTGCCTTCAAACACATGCCCAAGAGAATGTATGTGGTGATGACTATGATGAACCAGGTAAGAGCGAAATTGAAAGTGGAATTCTTGTACACAAGAATATGTAGACAGGCTTGGCGCCTGTGACTCAAGTGGCTAAGGCGCTAGCCACATACACCTAAGGTGGCGGGTTCGAATCCATCCCGGACCCACCAAAACAAAAATGACGGCTGCAACCAAAAAATAGCTACTTGGGAGGCTGAGGTAGGAGACTCGCTTGAGCCCCGGAGTTGGAGGTTGCTGTGAGCTGTGATACCATGCCACTCTACCCGGGGGAAAGCTTGAGGATCTGTCTCAAAAAAAAAAAAAAAAAGAATATGTAGACAAAAGATAACTTATTGTAATGTTGTTTTTAATAGTAAAAAATGGTAAATAATCTCAATGACTGTTAGTAACATAATTATTATGGCATACCCATACTACATTGTTCTCTATGCAGTTGTTAAAAGAAATAAGGGGGTAAATTTTGTGTTCATGCAGAGAAAAGTATCTGGTATCTGGGAATGATAATCACAGAAGTATTGGTATAGATCTATGTTTGTTGAAGACTACTTTTAATTTTCTGTATTACATGTTCACATATTATAGTTTTCTTTTTTTTAGACACAAATAATTGAGTGGTGGAAGTGAAGTTATTTAGAAAATAAATAATTTGCTTTTAAATTGTTCATTAAATAAACACTAGTAGGAAGTGTATGAGCACATGAGTTTTATATAGTTGGCAGCCTCTACAATTTTTTTTAAGCCTATTTGTAACAATCCACATTTAATTAAATGCTGCTAAATATTATCTTTAAATTCTTTTTTCTTTTTCTTTCTTTTAAAGACTAGTTCTTACACTTAGTGCAGTGGCTCATGCCTGTAGTCCTGGTACTCTGGGAGCCAGAGGTGGGTGGATTGCTTGAGCTCACGAATTTGAGACCAGTCTAAGCAAAAGCGATACCCCATTTTTACTAAAAATAGAAAAACTGAGGCATGAGAATTGCTTGAACCTAAGAGTTGGAGGCTGCTGTGAGCTATGACACCACCATGGCACTCTATTTAGGGTGACAGCTTGAGACTCTGTTGCAAAAAATAAAAAATAAGACAAAGTCTTGGTATGTTGCTCAGGCTCGTCTGGAACTCCTGGTCTCAAGTTATATTCTAGCTTTAGCCTCTTAAAGCATTAGGATTATAGGCATAAGCTACCATGCCTAGCTGCTTTTTTTTTCTTCTCGTTAGTCATACCTTTATTTTTATTGATGTGTTTTTGTTTATAGGGCACTTTTATATATAATAGGTATTTTTGATTAATATGCGCATACGTATGATTAGGTTACATTGTTTGTGAGGTACAGTGCACGTTGCAGTTGGGTCCCTCACCAAGGAATTGTGTCATAGCCTCCTACACTGTGCTCAGTAGGTGGCACCTTACCAAACCCTCCACTCTTCCCATCCATGCCCAACCTCTTAATTCTGTCTATGGGCATTCTAAATTACCTGCTTCATGTTTATTTTTTAAATATTTGGAAGGTAAAGAGAATTATAAAGAAGAGTCTTTAAAAATCACTTAATCCTCCCACCAAAGATAGCCAATATTTTTGTTATCTTTGATTTTTTGGCTTTAGATTAGAGTTTATGCATCTATAGTAGAACGTGCATTGTTTGCCACCTCCTTAAGTTGACCTAATTTTCATAGACCAGACATGCACCACATGTACCTTTCAGTCCCGTAGGCCTAGTTCCTTATATTGACCACCTCTATATGTTGACCAGTTTGTTATAGTCACTTGGGTGGACAGAGGTTCTACTTTTTTGTATGTGACATTGCATAGGGACCCTACAAAGCATAGTTCTAATTTTATTTTATTAGTTGTAAGGCTTCTTTTAAGATGCTACTTCTTCTAACCAGATTTCATTTTAGCTATTGCATACACGTAGGTAGTTGATATAATAGTTGTATCTGTAATTTGATAGAATGAGAGATGAGAGAGACCTATTCTCTTGAGGGTTTTTATTTTAAAAATTAACTTATCCAGGAGACTGAGCCAGGAGGATTGCTTAAGGCCAGGAGTTCAAGACCAACCTCAGCAACATAGCAAGACCCCATATCTTACAAAAAAAAAAAAAAAAATTAGCCAGGTATGGTGACATGTGTTCCTGTATTCCCCAGATCCTCTGGAGCCTTATACAGGAGGATCTCTTGAGCCCAAGAGTTTGGGGTTGTAGTGAGCTGCTTTGATGGCACTGCACTCTAGCCCAGGTAACAGGGTGAGACCCTGCAACAGAGTAAGGGTCTCCAAAAAACAAAACTGTCTAATATCTCCTTTTAAAATTATACATTGAAGCTGGGTTCACACCTATAATCCTAGCACTCTAGGAGGCTGAGGCAGATGGATTGCTTGAACTCAGGAGTTTGAGATCAGCCTGAGCAAGAGTTAGACTGACCCCATCTCTATTAAAAATAGAAAAAAAAATAGCTGCGCCTGTAATCGCAGCCACTTGAGAGGCCAAGGCAAGAGAATCACCTGAACCCATGAGTTTGAGGTTGCTTTGAGCTTATAATGCCACAGCAGTCTAGCCCGGGGCAACAGCGTGAGACTCAAGTCTCAAAAAAAAATTCAAAAATAGAATAAAATATAAAATAATAGATTGAAATAACTGTAAAGGATATAATTCCTAGTGAATTGTAATTTTTGAAATTATTTCCTCATTTGTTTAGATTTAACCGATAGATCTTACATTTCCATTTTATTCTATCTGTTGATGTCTCCTAGCCAAAGACTCCTGGTAGTTGAACAAAGCTTGAGCATTCCAACCTGTTTCAGTGCAGGATATTGGCATTCTGTGAAACTGTTGATATTTAACAGGAGAATACCAAGTGCCAGGTCACCTTCTGGATATCAGGGCCTGCTTTTCTATTTCTCATAATCATCTCCAGATTCAGGTCTTGATCCTTTTTCTTTGATTTTTTTTATTTCTTACCACTACCCAAATGCTACCTTGTTTGCTCCTATCTCTTTTGGGGGAGTCTTCTAGGTACATTATAAATAACAGCAAATAATTATGATTAATTAAACTGACAAGGCTCAAATTAACTTCTCATTTTCTAAATGAGCTGCTTAAAAAAAAAAAGACTGCTTCATTTAACTAGCCTAAAATACAAAAAAGAAGAAAATAACAACTTACTATAAATTTTTGCCATGTCTTTTTTTTTCTTTTGGAGACAGAGTCTCGCTGTATCACCCTCAGTAGAGTGTCACAGCTCACAGCAACCTCAAACTCTTGGGCTTAAGTGATTCTCTTGCCTCAGCCTCCCAAGTAGTTGGGACTACAGGTGCCCACGACGCCTATTTTTGTTGTTGTTGTCGCAGGCCCAGGCCAGGTTCAAACCTACCAGTCCCAGTGCATGTAGCTGGTGCCCTAACCACTTAGCTGTGGGTTCTGAGCTTTTCTTACTTTCTTTATTTAAATTTTAGTTAGTTATTTAAAACTATTTTATTAGTTAAAATAATTTAAATTTATTTTAAATTTAGTAAACTTAAAATATTCTAAATTTGGATAAATTTATTTTAAATTTAGTAAATTTAAAATTTACTTTTTAGCAACCAAGTAAGTTTAAGAGTTAAATTTGTTATTTCACAAAGATATACTTTTAAGTAAACTAGAATAAAGTAAAAAAAGTTTAAAGATAATAGTATTCTGTGATATATATAAAATATTTTTAAATTTTTTTAATAAAAACGATTTGCTGTTAGCTTTGTTTTTATATTGCCAACCATTTTATAGATACTGTTTTATGAATAAATATCTAACAGATATATAGATAGATATGTAGTTGTGTGTTTATATTTGTGTACTGGGTTGCCATTTTAAAAATATTTCTTTCACAAACATTTAAGAAACCCACTTATAATGTGCCTGATATCTTTTAACAATATGGTTATAATGAAGCAGAATATTTTATTTGGTTCAGAGCCACAGACTACCATATGCCTTGGCCAGCTTTCTCAAAAATGTTGGCTATTTGAAATAAGAAGAAAAGAAAAAACCTCAAAATGCATGAGGTGGCCAGGTGCAGTGGCTCACACCTATAATCTTAGCACTCTGGGAGGTCAAGGCAGGTGGATCACTAGAACTAATGAGTTCAAGACCAGCCTGACCGGCAGTGCCTGTGGCTCAAAGGAGTAGGGTGCTGACCCCATATGCTGGAGGTGGCAGGTTCAAACCCAGCCCCAACCAAAAACTGAAAAAAAAAAAAGACCAGCCTGAGCAAGAGTAAGACCCTATTTCTACTGAAAACAAAAAACTGAGTTAAGAGGATCACTTGAGCCCAAGAATTTGAGATTGCTGTAAGCTGTGATGCCTTGGCACTGTACCAAAGGGTGACAAAGTAAGACTTTCTCAAAAAATGCCTGAGTTATTAATATGAGTCAGAAGTATAATATTTAATTTTATGTAATATGTCAAATATAATTTGGAATAATAATTCATAATAAAAGCAATCTGTGTTCATTGTGAACTTAGAAGCATTGACATAGACTAAGTAAAAATTACTCCTTGTGTGCTCGCTTCAACAGCACATATGCTAAGACTGGAGATGAGCATGGCCCCTGCACAAGGATGACACAAAATAAACCACCACTGATTACACTTTGGTGTCTTCTTTATTGTCTCTTTTATATCTATTTTTCTCATCTTTGGGATGATACTATATTTATGATTGAACAGTCTTGCTTTTCCACTTAAAATAATGACAAGTATTTCCCATCACATTGGCTCTATTCTAGCTTTTAGACCTAATATTCAAATATTCTTAAGGCATTTTATTTTTAAAATAATAAGAGCCACAAATTTTCATTAAAAAGTATATTGTGCTGGCTCGGTGCCTGTGGCTCAAGCGGCTAAGGCGCCAGCCACATACACCTAAGGTGGCCGGTTCGAATCCCCAGCCCGGGCCCGCCAAACAACAAGGATGGCTACAACTAAAAAATGGCCGGGCGTTGTGGCGGGCGCCTGTGG